GAATTTGGATTGGGCTTGGGCGAAGTGTTTGAAGGAGGCCATTTTGATAGTCTTTTTGTAGATTGACTTATAAGGGTTTGTTTGAGTGAAGAGATGGAGTGTTTGAGATAGAAGTAGATTGTTTGATGCTAGATACAGACAATCGAGGAAAAGACCCTTTCATATACCCATCTCTGCAGCCTCATTCTTCCTCGAGATACTTACTTACTTGCTCTAGTTTCACACATAAGCGGCGAGGTTAACCATCACCAAAACATTCATTCCCTCTTTGGAGCAATGTTACCGGAGTGTTTGCGGGGAATGATAAGATGGCGATAGCATGGTTTTTCCTATTTGGGTCAAGTTGCCCGGAGGTTCCAAGATGGGTGGGGTTCTCGGGAGCGGAGGTCGCGGGGCGTGGAGCGTCCGTTTGGAGAAGCGATTTCCGGTTTGTGAAATGATAGATACGTAACTTGTTTGTCCGGGAGGGAGTGATAGTGGGATGGTGGGTTAAAATGGGTGGTATGGCTGCTAAGTGTGCTGAGGTTGTGTATATATGTGTTGACTTACACGGTTGTTTCACAGCAAAAGCATCTTCCGTTGTACTTACGTCTCAAGATAGTACTTCTCTTGTCCAGATCATTATGGACTTTTCATTATCCTCCTTCGGCCCTCACGAGGCCGTCATACTCCTCAGCATCATAACAAGTCTCGCCCTTCTCGGCTACAAGCTCAACGACATCATCCAAAGCCGCAAAAGCTTCCGCTACAAAAGCAAGCTCCCTCCTGTATCGTCAAACTACCAACCCAGCGACTACAAGACCCCCATCCCAGAACCCTACCCCAACTGGTCCATCGAAAAGACCAAGCCCCTCCCCTACAGAGCATTCCGCTATGGCCCCAACTACCAAGTCACCATGGGCCTGCGCACATGCCCCGTAGAGGAGTGGATTGAGCTGGATAATCACTATCCGAAATATCACGCTGATAAAGCTGCGAGGATCAAGGAGAGAGGGACCAAGTGTGTTGATACACATCCTGATGCGTATCCTGCTGCCATTGAGCTTCTGCAGGAGTTGGCTGATTATCTCCCTGCGAGATATCCAAGTCTTTTTGAACGGACAGCTGTTGGGATCAAGAATAAATGGTCGGGCGAAGACTTTAACATTGTTGAGCGCCCGCTAGCCGAGGACCCTATGGCTATCTGCTCACGTCTCATCCAAGATGATCTCGCAATCATGATCGAACGTCCCGATGGTCAATACTATCTCCTCGCCGGTGCAATTCTCCTCGCTGGTTTCTGGCGTCTCTCAGACAAATACGGCATGTCCCTCTCTGACATCCACACATCAGGCGACGTCCCCCACTTCAAGGAAAAGCTCGAGACCGGAATGTGCAAGTTCTTCAAACGTCTTCGCCCAGAAACAGTCTACAACCGTAACAACTACTTCATCCAAGTCGACGAAAGCCTAGCCTGGAGCTGGAGTATCGGCAACGAAGACGCACCCTCTGTGAGCTGGAGCACCGCTGAGAAGGATAGAGCTGTTGAGCACCACATGTTTCGGTCTGAGCGACAGTCTCTTCGTCGGTTGCCAAAGACTGGTGGTGTGGTGTTTACTATCCGTACGTATTTTCACCCTGTGACGGAGATTGCGCAGGAGGACTACGTTCCGGGGAGATTGGCGAGTGCGGTGAGGAGTTGGGATGACAAGGTTGCGAACTATAAGGGCAAGCAGAAGTACGGTGAGGTTCTGTTGGAGTATCTTGATAGAGAGCATGAGAAGCAGTTGGCGAGGGGGTTGGCTGTCGAGAAGGAGGGCGAGATTAGGAAATACCCTTGGTAGATGGTCATTCCTCAGCTGGTAGAGCAATCTTATGTCTGTTACGTATTATTTCGATAGATGGAAGAGCCAGAAATGAAGCTTTTATTTGAGCTCTTACAGTCGAGATTCTCACAGCGAAGAAAGCACCCATTGCTGATACTAGACCCAGGCTTCTGAGACAGCCTCTGTTGTCCAACTATGTGATCAACTTTTAGAATGAGGCCATCACCAGATATCGAGCTCAGAGCTTGTAATTATACCACAAATAAATGAATGCGCTACATGAGATCTCCAAATCTACTGCTTCACTTAACTGACAGTCCACTTCCTCTCCCATCCAGGGAAGAACGGATTCTCCGCCAATGTAGTAACCTCCCAATCCTTAGGGATCAACCCGTTCTCAACCTGCTCCCTCTCCCATTTTCTCAGCGTCGGCTTCGTAACATGCTCAACATGCCATGTCCCCTTGTACTTCATAATATTCTCCTTCCCCTCATTCAGCACCTTCAGGACCAGAGAGGGAACGTACGGCTCATCTCTAAACTCAGTCATTGGCGTGAATAAGGCCTTGAAGTTGAAGACGATAGCGCCCGAGAGAGGTAAGCGACGTAGAGTCTGCCAGTCAACTCGAAGAGAAATGTCTTTCTCGGTAAGAGACGGATTTTGAACTTCTCGAGTCTTGAACTCGGGGTCTTCTGAGGGGATGAAGAGTGGCTGACCGACTTCGAGACCCCAGGATCCACGCTGGATGGGACTGTTGGTAGGCATTTTAGTGAAGAATCTGTCATTCCATCAGCAACGTATTTATATGGCAGGGTCCAAGTTGACATACCGGTCCATGCTAAACTCCATCTTTTCCTTGTAATCAGGCACTGGGGCGTGTATCTCGGGCAATCCCAGTCCAATCTTCTCACTCAGCTTCCACCCAACAGAGGAACAAATCACACCAGCTCTGAAGCAATACCGTCCTGTCGCAGGATCTCTCAATGTGAGTGCGAAATCCTCAGGGACGTGATTGAGAAGGAAGAGCAGAGGCTCGGTCTGATCAAGATCTTCCTTGACTGCCAGAATGTGATTGACAAAGACTTTGCCGTGGAGTTCGAATGCTTGAGGATATCTCGCGCAGAGAAACTGAATGACCATCTCCATGAGCTCTTTACATGCTAACTCAGAGCCGGGTAAGGCCTGGAGGACATCTTTGCCGTGCTTTGCGTAGAGGGTTTGTCGCTGGGCGACGCGTTCGCGATATGTGTTCTCTATCTCTAGCCAGAAGTCTGGGTCCATCTTCTTCAATGCTTTAAGATTGTTAGCCATTCATCGCTGTATTGAGGCGATGGGGTGGCACTTACACATGGTCTGGTGATAGGCCCACCGGAATGGGCGATATGGTCTCGGCATTGCCTTGTCGACATTGAAGCTCTTGAGTGGTTCTGGTAGAGGAACACCAGACAGTTTTGCATAATCGGGAAAGTCTCCAAGTCGTCGGATCTCTCCAACGCTGAAGCTGGTGAAGTTGAAGGTGCTGGGAGTGGCATGACGATAGTCCTCGTCCAACCTCAGAAGAGGCTTTGATGCCACACAAAGGTCAACATCGCCAGAGCCAAAGTCAGGCGATATATCAGGCAAAGCGTGTCTTTGCGATGGAGGATAGACAGTAGTATAGTCCACTGGGGCAGTCTTCTTTACAGGTTCTGGCGGGGGAGATGATGAATACGCATATCGATTGAGAGCCTTTCGCTTGTACACAAGAGCATGAGCCACAAGACCCAAACACACACAAGCAGTGGCACAAAACGATACAACAAGTACAGTATGAACTGTATAAGGATGAAGACTCTCCGAAAAGACAAGCATGATGAAAGCAGTATCCTTCACAGACAAACAAACAAAGGTATAGAGTAATTAATTACAGAGTCATGATCATCTACACAGCAGCCTTCTTTTTCTTTATGCCATACCTTGCTTCTACGTCAAGCATATCGTCAAGATAAACGCCAGCGAAACCCAAATCTGGTTACATTTCGAGGACCGCCTGCGGGTTAACATAACCCTTTTGGGATGGTCGAATGAGAGAGTCGAAACGCGGGGTACAGTAGCGTTATCGCGGGAGAGGGTGACGTAGATAGTCCCGAGATAGGGGACGTATCTATGGCACGGATGGGGAAATGCTTTACGGTTGTGGTGGGTGGGGTTGTGATTCTTATCGTGGTGTTGTTGATGTTGATGTTGGTCAGATGATGGCTTTGTATGCTTCTGTAGATGGTCAAACACCCCGACACCTGCACTGGATATGCATGTCCAGGTCACTTGTGCAGTTCCGCATCGTATGTCCTATAATTCCATAGCGGAAAGTGTTTTGGTGTTAGTCTGACCTTGTGACTGGGCAAGTGTTGGCTAGCTTTTCATATCCATCCCTTATCAGATATTGACACCAATCAGTAGTAGATTTGCATATAGGCTACCCAGTCCTCCATAAAGGGTGATTTATTCTTAGCTCGAGCTAGAATGATGATCAGCCAGTAAAATCAACTGAGTGTATAGTTGTCATGTCTACAGGTCCAAGAATGGAAGCGTCTGGGCCTTTAAGTTGATGGAATATTCTACTCAACCCAACTTGCATAGAGCACTCTAACCGTCTCATGATTCATAAGAAATATCGGTCACTGTGGTTTCTTCCCGTCTAAAATCCGCGGCATTGTTGTACCATTGTCTTTGAGGGGCTTTCTGCAGCATAGCACAATGGTCAATGACTTACATATCTATATTGACAATTCACTCACCATAACCGATTCAGCTACTCGATAAGACAGAAGAATATAGATAAATATAAGTTTGAAATAACTCAAGAATTGAATTATTTTACTTGTTACAGTCCTTCATAGAATGAATAAATATAAACAGCTGTTATAGTATACCATCGAAGACCCACCAACAGTTATCCAGCGCATATTAAACCATTGGTTTCTATAAACAATTAACATCAGAAGCTGTTACCCTTGGTTTTATTTGACAGCTCAAAACAGCAGTTTAGCTTACCGTCACACATATCGGAGATACAGCTAATACACCGTGACGGGGATAGTGCTTATGTCCGCACGTCATGGAGTGATATAGGGTTCTGACATTCATATCAAATCTTACGTGTTCCTCAACCTCATCTTCCCTCCTACAACATCACAAACTCCAGAAATCTTCATTATGTGGGACACTTTCTTGTACCGCGGCGCCATCGTCATCTCCGCCATCCCAGGCCTCATCGGCATCAACTCAATGTTCCGACCAGAAGCCACCCTCAAGATCGTCAAATTCCCCATTCCGGCCGATCCTCAGAGCCGAAAGACCTGCCTATCCCTCGCACGTCTGCAAGGCGCACGAAACATCGTCATCTCTTACCTCTTCATCAACAACGCCTTGACCGGAGACAAGAAGCTCATGGGCATGGGACTGCTTGGGGCCCTTTTCATGCTGACCACTGATGGGTTCGTGAGCAAGTCGCTTATTGGGGGGAATGAGTGGTTTCATTGGGGATATATTCCCGTTTTTGTTGCTTTTATTGGTGGCTTGCTGTACTCGGAGTGAGGAATTGTTGGTGTATGGTTAGCAGTGGCCGATGGCGAACTTCTAGCCTTGCCATCCATATTCGAAGAAGCGGTCCATGTCTCAGTTGAAGATGATATTTCTCTTCTCGCCTTATCTTGTTGACGCAGCTTGAACAGAGGAGACTGAGTTGAGACTGTCAAGGACACTTTGGCTATATTGGTCATTGAAATAAAACTTTTGGTATCTGGCACTTGATGATTTATCTATAGCCCAGACACTTCTGCTTAGCTCAGTCAGGTGATTCAATCTATAAACTCGTCCATATTTGTTCTTTGAAGTTGAGCAATTCAGTTGCTAATAGCGGTTTCATATCAACTCTGGGGACCCTTTATAATGGACTGATCTTTGATAAAATTGTATCTCACAATAAGGACTACTTCTAGTCGGAAGGCTGTAGATAATTGGATTCGATTCCAGTATACTATCGTAAAGAAAGTTTATTCCTGACCAGAATATCCTCATTAGACCACTACTTACGACGTCAACAGACCACAGAGGCTTGACCATTTGATCAATCGCGAAGACCTGCCATGATATCAACTGTTGGAAGAAAGCACAAAACCCCTTTATTGCACTTAGATGACTGCCCTCTCGAAACTCCACCATGGTATTTCAGTACCATGACTCTATAACCATGTACATGAGAAAGAGAACGACGTTGCAGCTGCTTCTAGCTTCAAGATTGAATCTCTACCAATAATAGCTCCAAATCGAAGAATTCCTCCTCATCCTCCGATGATAAACCTTCTGAAGACGGCAACGGCAACTCCAGAGATGGGCTCAAGTACACTGGCGTCAAGTCAAGTTCTGAGGCAAGTGTCTTATCCAGACAGACTGTCGTCCACCATAGTCGAAGCATGTGCTCTTTGGTGATTTGATGGCTTTCACTGTCTTGCCGGTCCGAAATCCTGGGTTTGTATGTTTCTGGGTCGTCAAGTTGAAGTAGTCTTGCCAATGCTATGCTCTGGCTTATGTAGATAATAGCCGACTTTGGACGATTTGTAAAATGGCAGTAATAAGCCTATGCAACGGTCAGCTACTTCTCATGCCTCCTCTGGAACAGAAGCTTTAGCTTACCATGAGATTTAATGTTTCAAGGTCCTCCAATGTTAAAGTCTCTGAGATGGTTAATAAAGACACAGCTTGTCCAAAAAGATCCAATGGAGCTGAAGGTTGATTGAAATCCCATGGGTCATTAGTCTCTTCGGACTCTTGCTTTGGTTCACCCTCCAGAGCTTGACCCAGAGCCAAAACAAGGGACAGTTGGCAGAACCAATTTCTGTCGTCGACGTGGCTTGTAGGCTGGGAGTATGTCTGCCGTATCCGATCTCTGAATCGTTGTCGGAGAAACCAATGATATTCGCCGTTTGCTCCTTCAAAGATACGTAGAAGATGCATAGCTTGCTTTTCTGTCGGAAGCTTTACTAAAATCTGAGGTCCTAAAAGAATGATTTGGATCAGTTTAGCTTCTGTTTTGGTGTCTTTTCATCTGTTCCACTCACCTCCAGCCTCGGATTTCAGACGAAAAGGAAGTAGTTCACCGGCTTCACCCACTTGCAGTGGCTGGCATGATTCTGTCTGTATATATGGGTGTAGTAAGGCAGAAATGTCTGTCAACTTCTGTATAAAGACTTCTGCTGGACATGAATCTTTTAAGTGGCTCGTGTCACTCGGAGGAGACAGTTGGCTTGCATCGAAAAGTGTCGTTGAATCGTCTGTTGCAGTCAAGAAGCTGAACTGACTATTGATATTGGCTTTTTCCTCGACATCACGAAGATAACTCTCTGGCACCGTGATGAATTTGTCTTTCTTTGGATATACGCATTCTCTATTTCGTTGAATGCACCGGTGACATGGAATATCTACATACGATCAACAATAGCCTTGAATGGACTAATTGAAATGAAATACGCACCTCCGCTGCATTTTAGCTTTTGAGAATGGCACGCCGTGCAGGCCACGAGCTTGCGACCCTGGAATTTGCCCATGTTTGCTTAGTGCGGTGTGATAAGTACCGAGACGCTGGATAATGACGAGTCACAAATGTGATACTCCACTAGGAAATCTTGAAGTTTCACAGCAGAGCCACTAAACAATGATATAATTAATAAACAAATCGGTGTTTACTCAGAGGAATAAAAAGCAAAACTGAGACTATTCGCCGCTTTATACGAAAAACAACTCAATGACTAGCAAATGACCAATGGGTCAAGATTAGTACCCTATAGGTACTCAACTACTGAAAGGCCCAACTCTGACGCCGCAGTGATACCGACGGGCGGGCATTCACGGCATTGGACTGCATTCTCGTCCGTCTAAAACGGGAAATAAACTTCCAGTCCTTCAATTAATAACTCAAACATCGCCACGGAGAAGATGAAGCGAGAAAACAGAGCCGCCAGAGAAAACAACGCTAAATCTCAAGATAGTTCAAACCTTAGCGTTCCCACGTAGATCCATACGAGCGGATCTCCCTCACTAACTGACTAACTAACTAAGTAGCTAGTGCATTGTCATGTGACGATTTCTATTCCCTGTCTAGGCCTACATTGGCGGATCTATTTTGATGAAAGATTTCCAGTCGTGAGATGTGAGTAAACTAAAATATCTACTACATCTACACCCCCCCTAGAGACGACTACGGCTCCACGTCCAAGGCAGCTTTCCCTCCGCTGGAGCGTTTCTCCCCTTCCAGCCCGTCAACTCGTTCAAGTCTCTCCGGGGAAAGGGATGAGGATCTTGGAAATCATCGGGCTTCTTTCCGAATTTCCAGCTCCAGAGATTCTTGAGGCCCGAATCGAGAGAATCCTCCAAGAGGTCGACTACGTACTTTCCAATGATTGGGAGAAACTTGAAGCCGTGGTTTGAACCGGCTGTTGCTATGTAGAGGTTCTTTGTGTCGGGATAAGGGCAGATGCGGAAGTTGAGGTCTGAGGCCATGCCGTCCCTGGTAGAGGTGTTAGGTATAAGTGGTTTGATAAGGAGGACTACTTACCAGCATTGACGGGTGTGGACAAAGGGTCGATCTGCCAGCTCAGGGATCATTTCTCGAACAAACTTTCGAATCTCGACTTCAAGCTCCTTGGGGCATCCATCGAAAGGATAGTCACCCACTGAATGCAAGACTGAGGCGCCAGAGTGCACATGGTTGAAATAGTTGGTCACAAGCCGAACACTGCATAGCTTAATGAGGCCATTCTCATCAGGAGGAAATATGATGCCTATCCACTATCAGCACACCAATCATCTCAAGTTTCAGTGCCACATACCCTGCTCAAAGTCGTCGATGATGGGAATGTCCTTGTACTTCTCAATCTCATGTGGCTCCAGCTTCATCACACAGATTACCGAAGTCTCCGCTCTGACATCAGTTCTCGCTCCCTCGACAAGAGCCGGGAGACCTGCTCCAGCTGCAACAATGACCTTATCGGCGCGATGAATCTCCCCGTTAGCGGCAACTGCACCCTTGCAGGTTCCGTCCTCGTATAGGAGCTCCTTGATCTGGCCTGCATGACCGGTGATGTACTTTGCGCCATTCTTCTCTGCAGCTTTGGCCATGCGGAGAAGGGCTTGGCCCGAGGGGACCTAGAGCAAGTCAGTGACGAGAATCGATAGATATGGAGCGTTGATGTTACCCAACCAGCCTGAGGGCTGTAGAGATTAGTCCAGCCCGGAAACTCCCCAGTCAGAGCAGGCCACTTCTCTCTGATCCTCTCAACATCCAGATACTCCACTCCCTGCCTCCCCTTCTTCTCGGCCAAATCCTTAGCGTTCTCCAACCACTGATTCGTCTCCTCATGACCCCCCATGATCCATCCCGACTCGCGATACAGACCCTTGAAGAGAGAGTCTGGATCTTTCCACACGCCAAGGGTCTCGAGGCCGAGCTGGGCGTAGTACGGGTTGGGATAGTCTGCACGGATAACCTTGTTCAGGTCAGTGCCGGCCGAGTCGCGAGACGGGGCCTCGAAACGATCGACCACTGTGACGTTGGTGTAGCCGCGTTGGATGAGATGGTATGCGGTGGAGGTTCCAAAGACACCTCCTCCGATGATGAGAACAGATGGTTTGCTACTCATGGTGAGGCGACTTGAAGAATAGATGATGTGAGATTCTAGTTGATGATGTCTTTTTAGTTGTCTTCTACGAGACACAGCTGAATATTTATAGCCTTGAGCTGCGAGGCTGCGATGATTTGCTTGACCTTTAGCGAGTTTCCATGATTTCCTATCAATCCCGTCTGATAGCCTAAGTAAGGGGAAGAAAAAAGTCTCTGGTCTTGTTTTCTCATTCCTCCGCACTCCCCCGCAAACAATAAAGTTTGCGGTATCTCCAAACTGCACCCCCAAGAGATAACATTATGTAGGTACCTACCTACACTCTCAGCCTTAGCGTACCGCCAATTATTAGGTCATCGGACCACCGAGCGCTAGACGCCGAGGTCCAGAATGATCATCTCTTTGACGTACGTCGGGTCGGGTGTTGCTCGAAAAAGAAGAACCCCACCGACATGGATCTCCGGCACAGGCTGCATTAGTGGCCGAAGTGACACTAACTTACACGCATTAGTTTAATTTGCAGGGAGTGGAGGGTTGCGATGATGGAAGTGTCTTTGGTGGTGTTGTGTATGATTCGCAAGGAATACTTTATGAGCTTAGTGGTCTTGACCAGGGGGGGTTTTGGGGCCAAGATGATGCGGTAAATGGTTGGCGATTGTCTCGGTTGTTGAGATTGAGTAGATGTCATCTCTTTTCCGGGGACAAGAGAGTGGAGGGGACAGTCTATGATTGGCTGATTGGCTGATTGTCATGATGTTTCCTCTGTTGCGCGATATCAGATGAAAAGATATCACATTCGGTCAGATCTTGTGGCGAATTTGAGATGCAGGGTCTTTTCTTGCAGCCAATTGCTTTCGTCATTGGGGAGGGCTTGTTCACAAGACTAAGAGGAAATACATCAAGGTTCATAGACAACAAAGAGAAGTTGCTGAGAAAACATCTGCTTATGCTCAAGTTGTTGGACAACAGCGGCTACAAACACGAGATGGGATTGCTCACAAACAGTCTGAGATGACCTAATGTAAGCACCGCTTGGCAAACCGATATCTAACCGCCCGAGCTGTCAGAACCGGGACTAAACATCCGCTGTCAGTTGTTGTCTCTTCAGCCTCCCCTCCCCTCCCACGAAGAAAAGTGACCTGTCCTATTCCCAACAGCCGCGTTCCAGACTCCCCCCCTCAAAACAACGTGGCAACCGGGAGTCACCAGGTACAAGATGACGTAGCAAAAAGCACGTTTAACCGTGGATTATCGTAGCATGCGTCAGAAAATCTGATCCGACTTTTTTCTTTTTGCAAGGGTAGGCTATCACGAGTCCCCGCCCTCACATCTCACCGGAGTGGAAACACGGTCTGTACGACCCCAAGGCCCAGAGCAAGGTTGATTTGTTATGTGCCGAAATCGTGTAGGTGTTTGTTGATCCCTAAGCAAGATTGACGTTTTGTATGCTGGATAGGGTCGTGTTTTGGGAGAGAACCCTTGCTTGGGAGGATGGAATGACTCTTGAAACTTGGCGGAGAGTGTGCTGACGGCTTGAGACATGATTCGTGAAATCACATTTTATGGGTGATAATCACGTTTTCTATTCGGTGGCAGAGGATGGAAGTGATTGAGATAACTATTAATTGTGATGCCTAATGATAGTGGTTCGCAGAGGACAACGGGGAGACAACACCCCTGAAGTCAAGCACTGACTGACATGCCCTACAGGCTAACTACAGGCTACAGGCTACCTTAGTACACCACAAACATTCTGAAACCGTAACTGACATTTAGGATCTGCACGACATGCAATTAATTTGCTTCTCCCGCGACGCTTTCATCAGAAATCAACCTTCGATAACGATTCCATTTCTCCTCGTATCGCCCTCCCTGTCAGTGTCAGTGTCAAGCCTGTCCTGCCCTGCCCTGTCCTGTCAGTGTCATCTCTTTACTTTTTTTCTGTCCCTCTGTAGGTGTGGATGCACAGGGACCCAAGCCTGTCCATTCGGCGTATTTTCCCCCTCTCTCAATGGATACCGAACCATTGTTTCGGGTGCATTAGCGCCAATGTCTCTCTATTCTATCCCGCCCTCTCCCTTTATTCACCGCATATTTTAATTTGCTTTCCTTTGTGTAACCCCAACCTCGACTTGACTTTCCCGTAGCCCGGATACCTCTGCCGGTAAAACATATCTGTCAGATCATTTTTTTTTCCTCCTAGCCCTTCTTTTTGTTTCGGACTTGGCCGATGCGGGAAGAGACAAGATGGATGGGGGGAAAGAGTTTCACTGCGCGTATTATGTACTGTCTTTCCACTCTTCTCTCCTCGGTCAACTATCTTGGCGATATCTACAGATCCATTACAGACTAGGCCGATGGCTCTATCGCGGGGAAGAGGGGCCAATAGGTAGCTCCGAATACTCGGGATTAAACAATCGCTCACTGATGTCATTGTCAACATGCAATGCCAGATTAAACATGTCAGTTTCTTTCTACCCTCTCTCTCGCTGTCCGCTTTCTCTTGGCGATGTCTCAGACGAGTCAAAATGCCACTTTCAAGTCCCGGCTTATTTCCTTTTTTCACAGAGGGTACAGGTGGGCTAGACCTGGGCTGGCCTGTTTCTCATCCTTCACGGTTCACTTCACTTCACACCCCCCGGAACCACTGCCGATCCCGCCACTGAGAGAAGAGAAAAGAGACAACACCATCTCATCCATGGATCGCTAACATGGTCCCTCCCCCCAAAAGCGCTTCTAGAAGAACTAGCACTCCCTCTAAATAAGTAAACTTTAGTGGGCTCTGTTCTCTACTCTGATTCTAACTTTACACTGAGCTCCGTAGAGAGCGCTAAGTTAAACAAGAGTCTGTTGCAGTGTTGGCCTTGTTGTCTCTTCCCTCGCATCATCTCATCATTTACTTGCTTCTTTTGTGCTGCGCCGTATTTTCCCCTTTTGTGTGGCTCCACCCGCTGAGACGCACCCACGCACCCACGCAGGCAGCACAAAGGCTGGCTCTGCTCACTCTCTTTTTTTTTGGGGGGCGTTTCGCCCTTTCACAATTTCACATTCCATTTTAGAGACAATTTTCAGCTCGGATCATATCATATTTCCCTTCCCCCCCCGTCCATGTATATTTCCGTTTGTGCCAGTGTCTTATACTCGAGCCGCGCGTAAAACACTCTCACTTTGCACTTTCATCACACCTCGCCTGTCACTTTCACTGTCACTGTATCTTTATATCTCACACGACCACTTTGTTTAATTCTTTGATCGTTACTCCAATGAATACTCCAAACAGAGCTGCCGTTGTACATCCGCAATACGACGCCCAGTCTACTCAGCAGTTACTCGCTCTTGTTCAACATCTTCAGGTTACATCGAGGACTATGGCCAAGCAAACACCCGCATCCGACCAGAAGAACAGTACCATCGTCACCGATATTGGCGATTATCTCATCCAGGCTGCGCAGGCATGGGCACAGATGACAGATGCTCTGGTGGAAAGCCGGCAGGTTCAGCAAGCAGTGGTTGATGCGCATGAACAAGCCATGGTCAACAATCATCTATCCGATCTTTCTACTGTCGTCTCTATGGATGTCGATCTCACAAAGCTCTCGTATGTCAGCACGGCTGAGGCCTATGACGTGACTGACGAATCAATAGCAAAATCCGCGATTTAACAGCGCAATTCTCACGAGATGTGAATCAAGTTTGGCAGAATGATGCGCCGTGTCCAGGGAAATCACCGTGACATTTCAATTTCGAGTAGAGGTTCTTGGGATGGGTTCACTGGGTTATTTCATAGGCGTTTCTGGAATGATATCCGCATCTTGGTTGGAAGATTACTGCGTTATTTCATTCATCACTTGGTCACTAAAATTGCATAATCTGTTTTCTCTCCTCCACGAACATCGTTTTACTGTGTACCTCCTGATACGACCTCTGCTGCTGTGGCGTCTGTGGTAGTAAAGTGGCTTGGCTTCCATATCTGGATACAATCGTTATCTCGACATGGACAATGCTCAACCAAAGGATGCATGAAAATTTGCTCTGTGGATCAAGTGGCTTGAATCTATCCATAATATATGAAACTGCCAACGTATTCATTGACCTCACCCAACCAACAAATTCGTGGCATGACTTTCTGTCGGTGAGCCTCCTGACTCAAAGCTTGGAAGAGAGGCATATCATGACTCATGACCTTGTGAGATGAGGCGTAGCCGTGTGTAAGAATGTTTTCATTATTCGTCATCCGCCAGTTCTGTAACAAAGAAACAAAGATGATATCTCCGCTCAGCTCAACTCAGCTCAGCCTTATCACTCCATTTTGGCGTGTCACATTTATTTATGTTTGTATTACCCAACCTTCGGCATTTGGATTGGAAGGGGGCCTGAAATACTTTTTTGAGGCCACCACCCATGAATACCCGCTGCAGGGTCTTGCAGCCTCTAATGCATTATGCACAAACCTGGTACTGGCACTGGCTCTGACACTTCAGCCTTTGCTTGCTGCCTTATGCCCTGATCGAGCAGTCTGATAACCTGGTCCTTGGCCAGATTAAACCCCGCATAAAAATCTGCAGCGTGAACCATGGAAAATGTTTCTTGGGGCTTTGAAAATGCACGCGACATTTTCAACCACTGCATTCGCCTATCAGCTGAGTTGCCCGACCAACTTGGCCGTTGCTCATGACTTGGATCATTATGTGTCCTTCCTATAGTAGAAGGTCTAAAAGATATTACTAATTTCAGATTAACTCAAGGTGGCATTACAGATTATCATTGGTAGAAGGCAGACTTTAGCTCATTCACCGAGCAGATATTTGCATAGCACGATGTTCAAAACAGTGATGAGACTCAATGCCACAAATGATATTTAGGGAAATTTTGGATCAGTTCATATATTCAAAAAGGATTGAAGAAGGCACAGAGCAGATAAGCGAATTCCCTGTCTTGCCAAGTAAGTTCCATCACCACTCTGATCATCATCAAGTCCTCTACCAAGCCAACTCCGGACTCCGAACGAAACCAAAGCCGGATCCTTTCCAACTCCTGCCTTACTCCGAGACCTTGTTCTCTGTAAGACCAACTGCGTCAGAGCTGGCCTCAGTGGTACCATCGTTAACCTTACTGGCCTCGGTATCAGACCTGGGAAGACCAGCTTCCGCAAGGTTGACATTAACAAAGTTAGGTCGATTGGTCTTGGTCTCTTCAGTTCCGGCCCCAACAGGTTCAGCTTCAAGCTCAGGCACTTTAGTAACAGACTTGGTTGCATCGAGCTCATCTGTGATAGGCTCTGGGCCAGTAGACTTAGTAACACTAGTTTCATCAGCTACAGGCTTTTTGGTAGTGAGCCTAGTAGCTTCAAGCTCAGCTATGACAAATTCATCAAGAGCTGGCTCATTTGTGATTGGCTCAACGACAACAGGTTTGGGAGTAACAGGCTTATCAGTAAGAGGCTGTTCGGTGATGGAGTCCTTGGAAGTAGTCTCAGCTATGACAGATGGACCAGCAACGGGTTCGTCTGAAATAGTCTTGGTGGTAGTAGACTCTGCAGTACCAGGCCTCATAGTATCAGGCTTAGCAGTACTAGGCCTAGTAGTAGTAGCAGGCTCAGAAATGGCAGGCGAAGATGGACGAGGCGTAGGAGGGCACGGTACAAGAGATCTGGACTTTTGCAGGTCAAAACCAAAGTCATCTCGTCCATGTACTTCGTCCAACACGTCAGGGTGCTCAAATTCATCAGGATGAATGAGGTTCATAGGGCCACCTGGATATGCCGGTGGCACGGAACATTCAGAGTAGTCAGAAATGTTCTCACTACTGCTCCCTGTTCGCTGGTCATGCCTGGTGCCGTAGGGGTGATTGGACCCTCGAGCATTCTCAGGCTTGCGACGACTGCAGCAGCAACAGCATGTCAAGACCTTGGCGATGAAGAAGAGAGGGCGAAAATCAGGCATGTTTGCGGCTGTGCTTGGGAGTATTTGAGTGGGAATGTGTGTTCAAGGGTGGGCTTTGTGTGATTGTGTTGATTGTTGTTTTTGGGTAAATGGGGTGAGTTTGAGGTGGTTGAGATAGTTGGTTGAGGGATGAGAAATCTACCTGGTTACTACGGAATACGAGAGGTTTATATAGAGGGGGGAAATTGTTGATCGTTGTCGTTTGAGACGGTCGTTCAGTGTTTGCTGATAGTTGTTTTCGGAACACTGATTAAGAGTCCGTTGGGGGACTGAACATGTAGCAAAGAGACGAACAATAACCAACAATAACACAACAATAGTGTATATTCGATACATTCAACAAATCGTTGCTTAGAACAATATTTGAACTAAGGATCTGCTGTACGTGTGCTTTTCGCCCTTTTGGAACGCAAAATCAAACGAACCCCAATTTCGCTCGTAGGTGTCGAATTCTTATGGGCATAGTTGATTCAACCGTTCGTTTTGGAGACCACCGCTACGTAATGTACTTTTTTCAGATTTATTCCGATTGAGCGCTGTAACAGAATAACTGGCTGTGGACGTGGCAATCTTTACCAAACGAATTCAGCCAGTAAAGGCTTTCCCTCGGTGGCACATGAAAAATACAAAGCCTGCCAATCTTGGCCTTCGCTTAGCACTAAATAACGAAAGTTGATAAAACATTGCAAACGATCTATACTCGTGAAGCCACTAGACTCATGTAGATTCCCCATAGAAGACCAATGAAGCTCAAAAACACGATTCGTCGATGAACAGGGATGAAAGTGAAGCTGATGATGGATGCAACAGGCCAAATCTTGTAGCCAGCCACAATGATGGGAACAGTTTCCTACAAGATATTAGAGTAGTCCGCTGATAGAGATTAGTCACTTACTGTCTTGATGTTGCTCCAGATTTGAGAGCCGCCTTGACCTTTGAGCAAGCCCATGATGATCAGAAACGCAATCGTGTTCATAATAGCTCCCGCACTGATGCAGTCGACGAACCACTTGGTAAAAGTGTTGCGCATGCTAAACTGAGGCTCCCTATCCTTGTTGATCTGCGCCATGCGCTCCTCGTAGCCCTCTTTGAGCTCGGGTGCATCTTCGGTAGGCTGCATCTCAAGATCATTCAAACGCCCAAGCTGGGGTCCTCTAGCAGCAGGATAGGCGGGAAATGTTCGCTCCAGATACCCTTGCCAGTGATAGTTTGGGGGAGCGGTCATCAATGTGAGGGAGACAAAGCGCAGAAGCTGGACGATGTCTAGTGAGACCGGACGCTGCGGAAATTAGCCAGTGGACTTTATGATAGCACCGATCCAAAATTTGAGGTTCTTGATTCAGAAAGGTGACATGAAGGGTGCTCATTTTGTTAAACTCACACTCTGTTGACGAGCCTCAATGATCTGGGCAAGGATATTAGAGATGGTCGACAGGCCCGCAGCCTGGAGTGTAGCGGCAACGATCGGAGACGGCATTTTGGCGAAGAAATGAGAAAAGAGTGACTTATTGAGTGAATATCAAGATGCAGAGAATCAATTGCGTGTAAATTATTGATGTTGATCTTTCATGTCAGCTTCAGACTGATGAGAATCTTGAGGTGAGGTGGAGAGCCTCGTCTCACGTGCGGGCGTTGGAGCTCGGGATAAGTAAGATCCGCGAAATGCAACCCCTTTTTCTTCCTCGTATCAACTGCCGGGCTTTGAGACATTTGCAGTCGTCGTCGAGATGAATCATCAAATGAATTGGCGTTGGTGTTTGTAATTTTGGCGTGAATAATGAGGCCGAAGTGAATTATCAAGATTATGAATTCTCTAGTTAGGCCTGCATAATATTAAAGCGGAGCTTGAAATATTGCAAAACGATCCATTGACGATCTTGTAGGATATTGACTACACTCTTTCAGACCAGTCATTGAGTTCTTTCGTTGATATCTCCAGCTGGACAAGTCAAAAGTGAGTAAATCAGTGAAAGCAACATATTCTTCTTGGCAACTCTTCTATCCTCATCTTTCAGCTACCAAGTACCAACCAATCTTCAGACTTGAAAAGAGAGAATGATGTGAGGACATCGGAATCTGAAATAAAAGTCAGAAGGAATTTGGTCATGAAACAGTGTGTACGTTAGAGAAGTATTGTCTTCTTCAAAAGACGATGGCCGTTCAAACATCAACTAGGCTATACTTCCCAACCTGGACAGACTAATGAATGACTCGTATAATCTCCATTTCGGAACCGACGACCACAGCTCATCCAATTGGGTTCTCAACCGCCTCTATCAGCGTAATTGGTTTAGTGGTAAAATTCTCCGTTGCCATTCGAGCAGCGTCGGGGAGCCCTGGGTTCGATTCCCAGATTACGCATTGAAACCGATGGTTGAGACGGGATGATTCTTTTGCTGTTTTTTCTTTTTGAAATGGTCGAGATTTGAAGGTTGAGGCATCTGTACAATCGAGTGAAGCAATCGTGGAGTTGTGAATGTAGAGGTTAGAGCCAGGTGCCAACACAGAAGGCGCGACTTCCTTCTATGTACATATCAGCTTCGAGTCTCCACTTTGATTCGTTACCTAGGAGTTGTATAATATTGAGCATCGGTATATATAAATTTAAACGGATTTACCGGTATAACAAAAATGACTTTGCTGGCCTGGGCCATAAGTGCAAACCGGTCCAAGAGCCGGCCTCGTATCTGATGTTTCGTATGACTGCATCGTGGCCAACATGCTAAGCTGATGTGCACCGTTGGACACTATGTTGGGAAGAATGGCGTGCTGTCGTATAAGCGGAATCCTACATGCGGACGTCCACAGTCTCTGGCCTATTAACAATGAAAGTCTGACTCGTAAGTTTCACAACCAGCTGCAGCAAGATGGCTCGAAACTTTGCTCTGAAAATCATAGCCAATGAGCTGCGGCGGGTAGACTATAAACAGCATAAGGTTTCACGGGCAACTCTCTTCGGTCCCTCAACGGCCGTCTCAGATTTACACGGCATTGACACTGCCTCATTACAGGGACATTTATGAGAAATGATCATCTCTTAAGATAGAACAGCACCTCATGGCCTCACACAGTGATCTTTTAGGAAGCCCGGTGAGAACTTTATATCTTTGTGCGGGTGCAATGCATTGACTTTGGTTCTATAAAGTTAACCCTCTGCTGATAGTTTTTGTTCCATGTTAAGTTCATCACACCTCTACCACAAAACTCAGATAAATTTTCAGTTATATATAGGTCTATATCTAGTAATTTCTTATCAGTGTACTATTTCCTCCATTCTATCCTCACAGGCAACATGCATTTCTTCCAAAAGCTTCCCCTTCTGCTCCTCCCAGCAGCAGCCCTGGCTGGAGTTATCCCCTATGAAATCAGGAAAGGCTTCGCAAATCCTAAAACAGGGCCACATTCAAAGAATATTACAGAAATTCACGCTGAGGAAGAGAATAGCTTCTTGAGTTTCAAAGGCACGCCACCTGGCAAAGCTGTTCAAGACGGTGTCAAGCTTCGGATTCTTTCTGTTGGCGATTCTATCACCGTAGGCTTTGGGAAAGGAACGGATGGAAATGGATACCGGAAGATATTAAAACATGATCTAAGAGGTAAGAGTATATCATTTTGCTCAAGGGACCTGGCTAACATTATCTCGAGGGAATGTGGTCGTTTGGGCTGGCACTGAGAAGACAACGGGAGATATGAAAGACGGTCACTTTGTAAGTTCCTCAAAAGTCCACAAATCGAGGCATTAATCTAACTTAGCCACAGGCAGCTTGGTCCGGAAAAACCGTCCAGTACATCGACGACCACATTGATCCATCCCTTGAACAACGCCCCAACCTCATCCTTATCCACGCCGGAACAAACGACATGAAGAGTAATCGTCACATTTCCACAGACGGAAACCACCCTCAAGAAACCACCAACCGCCTTAAGTCATTGATCGAAAAGATGATGTCCAAATGTCCTGACGCTACTATTATCATCGGCATGATCATCGATGTTTGCGACAACGAGTGGTATCATTCTCAGAGAGAGAGGACAAAGATCTACCGTGATCATATTGCTAAATTGGCAGCTGAGCTCAGAGCGAATAGGTCTCATGTACTTGCTGCTGATTTTGGGCCTTTTGATGATACGCTTTTGAGTGATTGCGTTCATCCGACACAGAAGGGGTATGAGATTCTAGGGCACTGGTGGTATGATTTTATTCATCAGATTCCTGAGGGTTGGATCAAGGATCCTGTTGGACCTGATCCTATTCGAGATTAGAAAGATCTGTGTGGAGTAGGCCAGCAAGATTCAGGAATAGGAATTTTGATAGTTCGTCTGATCATGTTACTCCTCCAATATGATATAGTGAATGAGGCTTCTATTCTGGCTACTGTTATCCAAAGAATTGGCTCAAGTGTGTCTGATTATTTCATTACAGTTGGCACATTTCTCTGCCATCAGTGCTGGCTCCCGACAATATAGTAGATAAGTGAAAGAGTAGCGCGAAACCACTACCCAAGGCTTGGCAGCTATCCCTGATTTCCTTTACCATTTGTCTCAATTCCACGTCAGCTAATAGATCTGGAGATTTCGGATTTATTGTTGATCGATTTTTTTGGTGACCCAGAAGGAAGGTTGGAAGATATGGGGGACATCGCTAACGCTTAGGACGGGAAAAGTAACATAAAAATTGATGAGCGTGGCATTCGACGCTTTTGGGCCAATTTCGAATGATCGGTTGATTGGCTTGTATCACTTCCCGTCGCGGATCATTTCAATGTTCTTGTTTATCAGCCAATGACCGATGTTCTTTGCAAGTGCAACGCTGAACGTGAATAGACCAGGCGCCATTGACACAGGTTCTGGGCCGCCCAAGTTTGTGTTCGGATGATGAACAATGCACAGACAGAGTCATTGATACCTAACATTCTACGCTTTTCGTTTCCGTATCATCTATTCACGTATCCGTTCACAGATACCAGATGTGAATGATTCTGATACACGTATGAATTTCACATGATCGCGTGTCGGCATTATCTTCTCTGTGTCTGTTCATCAGACCGGACGAGGTGAATTATACAGCACATCAGATCAAACTGGGAACAGCTTCATCTCAGCTGAACAACTATATACACTTCGTAGCACTCACCTCATCTTAATAACCTATATATACAGTCGGCCCTTCGCCTTCATCCTTCTCAATCATCAACCTGCTCACCGCACTTCTACCAACGCACTTATCACAACAATCACCATTCTTCACACTTCACAATCCACAATCCACACACACACCACCCACCATCAAGATGTCTTCTCAGAACACCAACACCGCTGATATCAAAGAGTCTGCTGGTTCTCGCCGCCGTAGCTCTGCCACCATGGGCAACTTTGCTAACGAGCCAGTCGATCGCAGCGCTGAGACTGCGGTTTCTCGAAAGCAGAAGCGGGCCAACCGCCGAAGCACTCTCCGAATGCAGTCGGAGGTGGCCCCTTTCCTCGGAATGGACCTAGATGACGAGGAGAACGAGGACAAGGAGAGCAAGAAGGCTGATAAGAAGAAGGAAAAGGAGAACGAGCAGAAGAAAGATGAGGAGAATGAACAGAAGGACGATGAAGAGAATGAGGCTGAGAAGGAGAAGTAAGTTCCCCTTGCCCGGGCTAGACTTGTAGAATCCAGGATTCTAACAGTTTAGCTGTCCCCCCATCCCCTTACAAAACTAACAAATACAAAAAAAAAGATTAAAACAGAAAAGCACAAAAAAAGACGACGGTAGTGGGTTGCAGCCAGGAGTTTACAGGACACCACCAGCCGGGGAATCAGAGTTTCCTGGCGATGAAGCAGAAGAAACAGGGAGTTGGTGGAAGAGGAAGATACTAGGTATCTCAGTGCGGAATTGGAGATTATCCTAATCTGCCTGGATAGCCAGGTTTTCCACTGTAAGTCATGGATATTTGGACAGTCTTTGGATCTGGGTTTGCTTTGTTCGCGTTAGTAGGTCTTGTACTGATAGGTTAGTAGGGAATTGATTTGACTTCCCTAATTTGTTCTTTGTTCTTGCGAATGTGATATCATGACTGTGACTTGATCCTATGTCAAATGATGTTCGTTTGGGACAGTGAATCACTGAGTAGTGAGTACTAACCAATCTTCATTCGCCATGATGCAGCCACTCTGTCTCATTATTTTGTTTACTCACACAGAATAGGAGCGATTAATGCCCAACAGTAACCACCAATCAGTTGAGAGGATGGGACTTTGTGATAGAGATGCATAAGTTCACTAGCTACTGTAAGACGGCTCAAGTTTTGGCCGTTCTGACATACCTTGCCCACTGCAGATCACAGATGAATTACTGACAGGAACTCCGGTTAAGATATGAATTAGCGGCTTGTTTCTATGATATTGGCCGAATGTTCTACAAGGTACTCATCATTGGGACTTGTACTTAAATAACCACGATCTAGATTATGCCGGATCATGTTGGACAGGTCAATCAAGATCGGGGTCATCAAAGTTTCAAATAAAACGCCTTGGATGTATCTTTGAGCCCGAATCAGATAAAAATAATTATTGGGGACACTCAACTTCGATGTAAGCACTACCTACGGCGGATGCAAGAAACATCGGGATCTTCGTTTCTTCAACTCCGAGCACTTGTACTCGGCCGTGCAACGGTTTTATGGATATATTTTGCCGCGCTTGAATTAATATACATGATACTGAGGGCTTCGTAGACTTGTAGTCAGACTGATTCCACTGCCATCATTATTGTGAGTCTGGTTTGTTGCTCTGATGCAATGTCCATGGGATATGTCTGACGATCTGTCGTCAACCGGCCCATCGGCCCTTAAAAAGCCCCCGGTCCCCGATCTCCTTTCCCAAAAAGGCACTAAATCCCCCTGGAGCAGCCATACGCGTATGACCGGGCGTTATAAAAGCCCCCGAAACCCGGGATTAACGGCCGATTAACCATCATTACCTCCGGCGCATCAGTAAATCACACTGAACCTCAACTCGTGCCATTCAATTTACCTTTTTCATCTTTTTCGTTTCCGTTTATTACCTTTTGGCATCCTTGAATGAATTCTTCAAAGTAACAGTTAGTCATGGATGAATGCCTCATCAGTCAGGATCAGGACCGCCAGGATGTGGCGCAGAAGACGAGGGCCTGTACGAATTGCGCGAGGTTGAAGATGAAGTGTCAGTGGCCTAGTTCCGGTTCTGGCCGTGTAGAAAAGACGTGTTCAAGGTATGATATAGCATGTTTGATGTGGAATGTTGGCTAATTGTTGGTGTAGATGTTTGAGGATGAAGCTTGATTGTCAGGTACCGGAAATTACACAGCGACGAAAACGCGGCAAGTCAACGTAAGTCAAGTCCTTCACTCACACATAAATATTGACTGACTTTTATAGACGAGTCGCTCAATTAGAGAAGAAGATCGACGGCATCGTCTCTCTCCTCTCCGCAAACCAGCGCAAAGGCCTCTCCCCTCTAACGCCAGAAAGTCCCCAAGAAGTCCAATCCCACGCTCCATGTCAACCTCACACCAAAGAAAACCCCTTCACTACAAATCACGACATGATCAACCAAATCCCCGACGACAGCGTCCGCTTCAGCACAGACGTTGAGCTATTTCCTGGCTTTCGCGTCTCGCAGCAAGAAGCCTCTGACCGTCTTGATGTATACCGCAGAGACTACGTGCCACATTTTCCCTTCGTTCCTGTACCGAGCTCAATGTGTGCTTCGGAACTGTATGTTGAGTCGAGAGTTATGTTCTGGACGATATTAGCGGTTGTTTCACCGCTGAATGATAAAGTGCAGATGGAGTTCAAGGCGTGGTTTAGGAGATATCTCGCTGAGCATCTTGTTGTGAGGCAGGAGAAGTCTAATGACATATTGCAAGCGATGCTGGTCTATCTAGCTTGGTGAGTCTCCCTTCAGAGGACTGAAGAGTAAGGCTAACTTATTAGGAACGACTTTCACTTTTATGGAGAGCTTCAAGTCACAAACATTATACAAATGGCTATTGGTCTAGTCATTGATCTACGGCTTGACAAGCACGCTGGACAGTTTCTGGGAGGACCAAAGACGCTGCTTGGCGATGCATGGACGTCAATGAGCAAACAGCCGCTCAAGATGAAGGTTCATCAGACAGCAGCCGAGAAACGCGCTGTTCTGGGCGTATACCACATCACAAATCTGTAGGCCAACATGTCCTCTAATTACTAAAGCGTAGCTAACAAGACCAGACTAAGCCCGTACTTCAGAAAGAGTACCATCTTCCACTGGAGCACACACCTCGCTTCCTGCTGCGAAAACCTCACCGAAGCACGAGAGTTTGAGTCAGATATATATCTTGTCTCTCTCGTTCGGATGCAGCACTTGGCCGATCGGGGATTCAGCGTCATACCATCCACTGATCCATTTGATCCAACACCCCCGACCTTTCATGCCGTAACCGCCATGGCTCTCGATACTGTCCATCGTGAATTGGAGAACTACTTTAAAGTACAGCCCGAAATCGTGAAGCAGATACGTACGTGTCCCAACTAAATCGCTGCGCCAAAACTAACTGTCACAGCTGGCTTCAGAGCCCACTACAACTCCATCCTCGTCCGTCTCTACGAGCCAATCCTCACCATGAAACCCTCAAGTCTCGTATCCTCCGACACAGCCCTAACCGAACCCTTTCTCCGCACCGAATACCTCTGGAAATGCCTCGAAGCCATCCAAAACACCCTCGAAAACCACGTCACACTGCCCCCCGAAAAGATCTCCATCCTACCCGTGACGGTTTCCTGCGTCCTCGCCTTCGTAACAGTCACAGCCTCACGCTTGATCATGGCCGAGAACTCTACAGACTGGGATGTAAAAGCCGCTCGTCGACGCCTTCAATTCCAGGATATTCTCCAGCGATTGAGCGATCAGTTTGCGCAGGCTGACGAAGAGGCGCAAAGACTGAATCGGAGACGCAGGGTCATGGAGGATGGGAGCAGTGTGTTTCTCAAGTCGTCCTTCAAGATCAGATGGATTCGACAGTGGTATTTGTCAAAGATCCCGGAGGACGAACAGCTGTTGTTGGTGCCGCAGCCGCAGACTGCGATAGAGAGCTCGAGTGTGTTGCAGAGCAATCCGGACTGGGCGACCAATCTCCAGTTTGACGACGAGTTTTGGGCGGAATTGTTGAACGGGCTTGACATGGAGGCTTTTGATAAGTCTCTTGCTACTGTTGCAGCTCAATAGCGCGATTGACGCTGCGTGTATTAGTATTTGATGATACCTGAAAACACTTACATATTGCAATGATACCCAAAGTAATGATCAATACCAACTGCCGTTCAAAGTCTGTTTAATACCCATGCCCGTGTTATACTGTTCATTGGTGACGGCACCTTCGGCCGGATGTGCCCGGACGAAACAAGGGTCCAGCGCCGAATTATGTTTCATTTCCCAGCCAAGCTCCCTCTTCAAACATTCTTGCACCAAAAGCCAGAAGCCGTTGACACACAAAAAAACAGTATAAAATCGTCTCAATTACCATCTTATATTGTATTATTTATTGCTTGACTCGTTATCATTTGCAAAATGGCACAAAAAGCAGCTCGCGACTGGGTCTATCTAGTCATAATCTCACTCCAACTCATCGGCATGATCTGTCCGTACCGCATCCTCACCTCAACCAAGACTCTCACTAACAATCCCCAGGTCTCGAATTCACTGAATTCTACCCTGATTCAATCTATTCTGCACCCAATGCCCCTCTCCGCTTCCTAGCCAACGTCAAAGAACAGTATCTCTCCTTCTCAGGAGACCCCTTCTTCGGAGACAAGTTCCACGGTGCCTGGTTCCGTAGCACGTTCTTCATCGAGATCTTTGTCCAGTTTCCTCTGGCCATTTATATCGTGCGGAACCTCGCTGCTAAGAAGCCTTCATCTGGACCTGTTGAGCTTGCTGGTTTGGCGTATGGTTGCTTGACGGCCATGAGCTCTGTGGCTTGTGTTGCTGAGCTGTTGGAGATGGGGCCTGAGTTGGTGAGCGAGGACCATAAGAGGAATTTGGTCTGGGGGACGTATTTCCCCTATGCGCTTATTCGTAAGTTCCCGTCTGTTTGTTGGGATGTTTACTAATGAGATCAAGCTGGTGCTATGGCTGTTGATATGTACACACGACTGTTGCGCCGGGTGAGCACTGATATCAAGCCCAAGACACAGTAGAGAACACAACCACAAAACAGCGCTTGTATGACGGATAGTCGGTGTGGACTGTTGCCTCCGGCTTTTCACATTACTGTTCTACATTGCAGAAATCCCATATCCATCCCTGACTCCATAAATGCACTGTACATAAAAACCTGGACCTCAGTCCATTCTCTTATTCTGCTTCGAGTATCCCCATCCATTGCCCATAGTGTTCACTCCATATCCCAACGGCGTCGCACCCCCAAGAGCTCGTCCCTTGAGTCTTCTAGGCAGAATCACACCAAGAGTGTACATAGTAGCACACAACACACCAGCGCCAAAGGACACGAGACTGTAGAACACAGTGCTCGCGTAGATATGACCGCCTAGGCCCTGCCATTCTACCTTTCCTTCTGTCTTGGGCAGTGCCGGTGTAGGGAACCATCTCACGGAGAGGCTCAGCGGCAATGGATCGCCAATGACCAATTTTCGTGTATGTGAGCCCTGTAAATGATGCAGTGGACTGGTGCTATACGCAATCGCTGAATCCAAAACACCACTGTCATGAACATGAGTATGGTGCTTCGGTGTACTATGTAGCAACACATTCATATGCGTGCTGATATGTATATGGCTAAGTTGTAATGTGCCCGCGAGCGCGAAAACAACAGGGACGTATTCGCGCTCGGGTACCTTCTCGCCAACGACTTCGACTTCGGCCGCTGGACGCGCAGGGATACGACATGATAGAGGCGCATCGGAGTGGATGTAGAATTCGAGGAGGTGGAAGAAAGGGTCGTCGATCATGGCTATCGTGCAGTTCACTTCGCCTTCTGTGCCGTAGTTGAATTCAAGAGAGCGGCCGGTCTCGTTGCAGATGGGGAAAGGCTTCCACTCGATTTCGTGCTTTTCGTTTTCGACATGTTCGCCAGTTTCTCTGCGCCGTGTTAGAGATGCAGCTGTAATTGGGTGGTAGTACGTACGAGTTACGGTTCATGCATTCTACGGGAATGGGAGCGCCGTAGTGATATGAGGGAAGACCATCTTCTGGGTTTGCTGTGACGAGGGGCGTTAATGCGCCCAGGGCGACGACGGCCCAAGCGATGGGAGCGATCATGATAGCGGTGTGATTCGAGGGCGCAAAGAAGCGATTAATGAGAAACCGCCCTCGTTTATTCGGCGACTTGAAGCGTCTATATTAAGGATCAAGATCATAACATTGCGATCAAGAAAGTCTGTTTGGCAAACTGTGGAGGGTTGAGTTGAAGCTGGTTGAAGCTAACTATGTGGAGATAAGATGCCACCCTGGACTCGACTCGACAGTGTATCACGTGTCACTTCATTCCAGCGCCAAGAAAGGGAAGCATTTACGATGAACTTTATTAAATACTTTACATGCTTTGATATTGAATTAGAGTCAGTAAAAATAGCAGTCTTTTCTTAGTATAGAATGGGGGGTTAAGTAAGGAATTGGTGGAAACATCTGCAGATACGAGATCCTGAGTCACTCTATACAGTGATGAGAAGGGGTTTTTGTAACTGACACGAGAGACTTGAATATGCACACAAACATTCCCTGTTAACCAATATCCTATGATTAAATGTATACTAAATTATGCAGGCTTCATAATAAATATTCTTATCCTCTGTAAATTCCCTGACGAAGGCTCCGAGTTAGTCTCCGTCCAGCGGTGACTTTTCGGAAACTTCCTAACAGACTCATATATAACCCTTCACGAACTGAACATATTGATACCGACAACTCAAACTAATTTCATGATCAAACTACTACGACCAATTATAATAAGAACCCCTCGATTCATCAGAATGACTTCCTCAGACACCGCAAACGCCCTCAAGACTCTGAGAGAGCACTATGACAGCGCTACCATGGAAGCTCAGATGCTATACGCTTCAAAGACCATGATGCCACACCTAGTCAAGCCTCTTCCTACACAAATGGGGATATCTGAAAAGACCTCAGCGCCTGTGAAGTTTCTGGATAATGCTTGTGGAAGTGGTGTCTTGACACATGCGGTCCAGCAGGGTTTACCTAAGGATATCCTTGAGAAAAGCACGTTTTTATGTGCTGATGCTTCGGATGGTATGGTCAGTGTGGCTAAGAAGAGGCTTGATACCGAAGGATGGGTTAATACAGAGATTAAGAAGCTGGATGCGACGGTGAGTGGACTTACACCATAGGACGCCCAGACACTGACGAGATACATAGAACACTGGACTCCCCGAGAATTCATTCACGCATGTTGGTCTTGGTCTAGCACTCCATGTCATCCCTGATCCAAATGCCGTTCTTGCTGGTAAATCCCCTTCATGAGCTCCCCAGAACAGAACTAACATGTCCAGACGCCAAACGCATCCTCAAGTCAGGAGGCATCTTCGGCGCAACAACATTCCACAAAGACAACACATTCTGGCTCCCCGACATACGCACAGCATTCGCGTCATTCCCCTTTGAAGCCAAACTCCCCGAAGTCATGAAGATGCAAATGCACGATCAAGGCGACTGGACAAACCCCGCATGGATCGAAGAGCATTTAAAGAAAGAGGGGTTTCAAGATGTGAAAGTGACGGCCCATGATGACAGTTACACTATTGAAAGTGCGGAGGATTATATTCTGCAGTTTGGCATGATGCTGGGCTGGTTGATGAAGACTTGGTGGAGTGAGGAAGTGCAGAAGGAGCATTCGCTGGAGGAGGTCAAGGAGTTGTTGAGGAGACATTTGGTGGAGAAGCATGATGGCAAGGGTTGGAATATTGAGTTCAAGGTGATTTGTATGACTGGGAGAGTTGAGTAACTCACTCTGAGGTCGAGAGGAACAGGAGCTTGATCTTTCATATTAATGCTAAAACTCAAGATATCTTGACGACTAGAAACAAGAAACAGATTGGGTGATGATATGCTGGTATCAGAAGCAAATAGTACTGATTGAGAAGCAATTTAACAAAGTAGCCACCCTCTAATACACATTTTATATAATACAATATTAAGTGTATACCAAACGAACGACACTGTATCTTGTAGAAGACATTAAAATGACCGCTTTTGCCCTCCACCCCCATCTAACTAACCCTTCTAGTTATCGCACTCCCCAGAATACCTCCCATTTATAAAGAATGACCTCCCCCATTTTCCCATAAAGTATCTTCATCCCCGCCCTGGACTGAAATACAGAATGCTCTCCCCTTTTTTTTGAAACCATACCCCGACATTGGTAGTATGGCCGACCAACCCAAGCGATGTTTGTGCAGTTGAAGGTTCTCGCGAACGGTTGGTCTGGAACGTGGTACCCAGCGTAGCAGTTTTCGTGTATTTTTTCTTTATTATGCTTGCTTGCGCTGGGTTAAAGACTCACGCTTGAAGCGTGGTGAAACGTATTTGATATCATTGTTGATGATTCATTGCGTTGGTGGGTTGTAGGAGACCAGCTCCTGGACAGAGGAAAGGAAAGGAAAGGAGTCGTTGAGTGTTTCGAGTCATAGTGAAGTTGGAGTCGTAAATGTCAAGTCGTCGAGACGAGTTGTGCTATAGAGAAATAAATTGTCTGGTGTTCGAGAGCCGGGTTATAAAATCCTGCCCCCCATACTAAGAAACAAAAGATTGTTGAAGTCTGCCTTGACAACAACACCACAATCTCTCAATCTTATATATCCAAATTCCCTCGCCCCCCAAAACAATTCCCTAAGCCCGCTCCAAACGCAGTGAGGCCCTTTTGCTACGACTCGCTTTCAAGCGTGGCGTGTTACCCTTCGCCCTGGTCCTGTCCCCCCAAAGTGAGGCGAACAACCATGCAGGCCTCACCCACCAATACCACCTCCCACCGCCTCCGAGTCTCACTATACAGGGCGAGCGGCATTGCAGAGTCAACGTAGCGCTGCATACACTGTCGCTGCCTTGTGCTACTGTCCACCCATGCTGAATCATTAGAGTGCTGGTGACAATATCACTGTAGACGTCGGCGACACCGCTCTGTTAATGAGACGCAGCCTGATATAGGTAGGTAAACATATCTCTTCGCTGTTGCATTTCTTTCCATTCTTTTCAAAGGGGCGCCGTTTTTATCAAACCCCCCATGTCTTGTTTAATAATTACATGTGTAAAAAAACGAGAAAAAACCCTTTGGACCTGTACAGTACAACGCACCCTCATGACAATTGGCGCCTATAGCATAGCATATCCATCATCCTTGACAAAAACATGTGGCCGCGCACCCCCAGCTACCAACTACTCAAAGCTTCCCAATTCTCTAGACTCTAACTAACTGATGCTTGCTTCTCTCTCCATCCATTCTCATGTCCTCAGCTCGCTACCTATGCAAATCTGAGGCTTCCCGTCGGAACCCGTTGTGACAAACCATCCACCTCTCTCTTCAGCAGCTTGAGAACTCGCCTGACATCAGCAAGGTCTGCACCGCCGGCGTTGTTTCCATGTCCGGGTGGTGGCAGGGCGGCGTCGCATCTCTTGAGGAGGTCGGCTACAGAGGGGCCAATAGCACCACCCTTTCCGGCACCTCCACGTCGACGGGCTTCAGCCACCCAGTCGTTGACCACATAAACGATGAGTTCAATCATGCGGTTTCGCACAGATCCACTGAAGCCGTAGTCTTGACTGTCGAAAACGCCCTCCAGAACACGGACAATCATGTCATGCGAGACGCCCAGCGTGAGGAATAGTTGGACGGGCCAGGTGGGATCAGCGCCGATTGTGGCATCTTGTTGGTAAGCCACTGCGTAACGGCAGAGCTCAGGAAGTAGGTCTTGGATGGGGAAGATGAAGCTGTCGAGGGATGTGCGGTGGGCAATGTTTTGGATCTTGCTGGTCACAGACTCGTAAGGCAATGGGGGCGATGGCATTCCTGGTTCTGAGTTCTCTAGGCGAGACATGACCTCATCGTGTGTCTGTTGAATCAGGTTGCTCCATGTACCCGAAATCGTCATATGGTTGCGGTAATCAGCAACATGGTAGATGAGCAGGCAAAGGTCGTAGTAACCGGCTTGGTCGGCATAGTCGTTGAAGAGCTGCAGCATGTGAGTAATCGTCATTGGCTAAGGGAGAACAGTTGAAACCTACCTCGGAGAGTCCCTGGATCTTGCCCTTGAGAGCTTCCTCAATCTCGAGGGCCCTCTCAGGGTCGATACGGTCGTCAGCTCTCAAACGTTCCAGGAGATCATCCTGGATATGAGCAATCTCAAGCAGCTCTGTGACACTGTGGTTCAGCAGCTGCTGTTGCTGTCGGCTAACACCAGTCGTTGAAACGTTAGCATTCGCCTTGGCCAAGCTGAGCAATCTGATTCGGTCCTTGATACTGATAGGGAAGTCGGAGTTGGCAAGCTCCGCCTGCACCTCAGCTGCATCAAAGAATCGACTTCGGTTGGTGTAGAACCGGCAGAGCAGGTCAGCATGCTCAATGTTTGTGCCAGCAAGTCGCTGAAGGAAAGTAATGACATGGGGTGAGTCGATAGCCAGGATTCGATCTGTCCAGCCTTGTTGGATGTACCATTCATAGAGGTCAAAGTGGAACACCTCGTCATCCGACCCGTTCACCACCTCGTAGGCCTCAAGCCTCTTGGTAGCAATCAACGTCAGCCTGCCATCGACCATTTCAGGCTCACTGCTTGATGCAGCGTCCAAGTGACTCAGAACGTCATGGATCATGTCGTAACAACGCTTGCGATCATTGAAAGCATTGGCACGAGGGTCTCCGGAGGGCTTGCCGTCGTTGACCCAGGACAGTGCTGTGTTACCCCTGTCCTTCTCGCGGGCGACCACAAGGCATAGCTGGATAGCACCGGCATAGTACTTGAGGGCGATATACTGTTCCACAGCACTCTGAAGGTTGGCAAAAGTGAGGCTGCCAGCAACCTTCTCAAAGAGCCTCAAGCTCTCATGGAGTAGGCTTCGCGACTGATTGGTCTGAAGAGGTTGGTCAGAAGCCCGCTTAAGCTGCTCCTGGGCTTTGAAAGTAATGACATCATCTGGGCTGCAGAAGCTGCCGCATCTCCTTCGAAGGGCGTCAGCAACAGTTTCAACGTTGGAGCCGCTCTCGATATTGCGGTTAACAATGGCCTTAACGAGCAGCTTGGCAAGATCCTTGCCGTCAGTTTGAGAAAAGAGCTTCTCGTATGTCAGCTCCTTGAGTTGTTGTTGAGCTGTAGCATCGAGGCGAGTGTAGATGTCAGCAACCCTCTCGTCGAATAGCATAAGCACAAACGAGATACCCTCCGAGATGCTCTCCATCAGCTTCTGAAGAGCATGAAGAGCCTGATGTTCAGCCTGAAGAGCAACTTCCTCCTGACGACTAGACACGTGTTGGAGGTCAGATGGACCAGACAAGCCTTGAATGAGGCCACGGTTGGTATCAAGGAACCTCCTTAGACGCTCCAAATTCTCCTGAACAGTATTCAGCTTGGAAAGGGGAATTGTAGAACCAATGGTGACACCGCCATTAGGAGAGACACCCGGAGCGATGACTACTGACTTCCACAACTGGCGTACCAGTCGGGAAAGATACAGAGCTAGAGCGTCGTGTCGGGACGAGAGGTTAATGGAATCGGTTGTAAGGGATGAGCTGTCGGTTTCAGCCATCGTAGGCTGTCCACCAAAGTCGACAAAGACGGATCGTGCTCGATCTTCAGTTGCCTGGTCGATAGCACGAGCTGCACCAGGTTTAGAGTCACCTCCGTGACCACAAGCAACAGCCAGAGCGGTAGTAACAGTCTCCACGCGGCCATAATTATTAATAAAGCGGCGGCAGACCATTTCCAACCCCTCATCTCCAACAGCACCTCGAATAGCAGAAGCAAAGATATCCACAAAGCGCCTTCGTCGAACGATGTGTACACCAGTGTTGGTGAGAATTGCGAACTCGCTAGGCGCATCGTCGAATTGCACAGCCAACTCATTACCGAAGCCAAGTGGTTGTGGTGCCGCTGCGAAAGGCTTTGTGATTAATCCAACAGCTTCAGCTCGGCTGCCAATGTCAATCCAGCTGGCAGATTCATGGTATTTGAAAGGAGATGTCGGGGACGTGTTCTTAAGACGTCCCGTCTCAGGTCCAGAAACAAAGAGGGTATCCTCATTTGGATTAGATTCTTTGCTCACAAAATCCAAGAAATATCCAGGGGCAAATCGAGCACCTTGTCGGCTGTAAGACAGCGAGGTAGATTCGGAATCAGTGATCGACTCGCCACCAGGGTAAGTAGATCGACGAGAGGTTTGTCCAGGAGGGAACTTGATGAACTGGACCTGCATACTTTGGGGTGCCAGGTTTGTCGAGGAACCGTAAATGTAGGATGCAGCACTGGTCGCGCTGAAGAATAGACGGCACCCGGTGTTTGTCAGAGCCATCAAGTGAAGCTTGGCCGCTTCCTGCTTGGAGATAGGGCTGATCGAGACAATGCTGACTTGGTCACTCAACAACCTAGATTGGTTGATCATGTGAGCAATGTCGCGAAGACAGTGGACCTTCTCCTTCTCAATAACTTTGTTCAGTCGGTCGGGGCTTTCCATATGGTATGTTCGAATGGTCGATCGGCTCGAGAGGGTATACACGAGGTTTCTCGAATCGTCGATCACGATATCAACAAGGTGTTCGGGGGTCTTATGGGACCAGAATCCGCCTTGTAGTGTGACAACTGAGGACCAGCCGGGATTCGTATGGTTGATCTTACCGCACCTATTTGAAAACCACTTCTCCTCAGATTGATAGTAAAGTTCATTAATGTCGATGTCGTTGCTTCCTCCAAAGAAGATTCGGCCGTTGGCAGATCCCGTAATAACACGGACGTCGGTACCACGAAGGGGGAGCTGCATTTTCGTTTGGTAAAGAGATACTGTCTTGGAGCCTGAAGGGGTAGCGGTGGCCGAGACACCTAGCAAAACAATGTCTGAAGAAGTCGCAACGACGAGGATGTGTGTGATGGTGTTGACGAAAATGCCTGGTTTAGGAGGCACGAGCGCGACAGCTTGGATAGTATGCGGTTGGTCCTCAAACCCAATCAGCTCGGGGTCAGGGTGTGTGTAGTCCCATAGGAACAACGAGTTATCAATAACGACCCAGGCGTGGTTGATCTCGGCAAAGAGTCCCATCAGAGTCTGAAGCTCGCCAGCGTTGTAATGGTCGAAGACTTGGTTCGGAATGGGGTACATCTGAGTTTTGTGGAAGGGGGCCATCGCAGAATCGGTATTTTCAAGGTCGTAGTCGGACGACGCGCCCTCTGGTTCTTGTTAGCTGGTTTCTTCGCATCCAATCTCTTGTAACCTACGTCGACAGTATGAATCCAAGTCGGGATATCGGCCATCGGACTGGAGGCAGGCATTGATGGCCCTGGCCGCCTTGACAACGGGGGGGACATTTTCGGATCGAAGAGGTGGCAGCGCAGTAGGGACAATCAGATTATCGTTGCTAGTTGTCCTTAGTGCAGATGGCGCAGTAGCTGCGACACTTCGCGATGATGAGACAGGCGCCGAGCTCTTGTGCGAGACGGCCTGGTTGCTATCGTTGCCGGTGAAGAGCTGTCGGCGCACAGAATCAGAGCCCGACTGAAACCTCGAGGCGACGGCCGGCGTATTCAAGAAGGCGCCTGGGACTGGCCGGACCGGAGTTGTTTGTGGAAACGACATTATGGGCAGTAATATCGAAGCCCTCGGCGGGCCTGCGTAGCTTCACCAGTTTCGTTGCTATACCGCTGTAGGCAGATCGCGGATCATCAAAAGCGACGGACTCAAGGCGCGTGGATGGAATTGCGATCAATATCCCAGTCCCTCGTAATAGCGTGGCAAACCTCGTGGGGGGTTTTCGCTTTCCTCGCGTCGTCGTCGGGTTTGAGATAGAGGCTATAGCGAGAGAAGTACGCTTTGAAGGTGATAAACAATTTGACGAGAGCTTGGGGAGGCTGGATATGGAGCACGGATTTTTCGCGACTGGGGCGTGACGCTAGGACCGTTTTGGTGCAAGGCTGAGAGCAGAGTAACCACGCGTCATGAAAGCTCAAAATCACTGAGAATAAATCTTACAAAATTAATGAAGCTGAAGACAATGTAATTGTTTATTTATTATTTATATCTACCTACATATACTCATCTAACGACTAACTCTGTGAGCCAGACGTACTGGTCTGTGAGCACGCAGGTTCTTGATCCACCTTTCTGCTCTACTTAGACAAATCTACATCAGAACATGATAATTTTTGTTGCTGGGCAAACACAGGTAGCTTGGGTAGTACAATGCACAGGTCTCTTGTTCTGCAAGCCAACGTTGCCATATATGCACGGCAAACATGAAGGAATGTCTGAGGTTACTCACCCTTTACTTCACGCTTTGAGGCGGTTGCATAACTTGCAGTACATTACGGTTGTCATACCACAAACTATCTCTCATGACAGCTGAGTTGACCTCACAGCTGTTATATTCCTCCTTTTGATTACATTCCGAGTGTTCCCCGACTTCTTACTTCCTTGCTCTTCTTTTCATCCTTCGTTTACTGCTTCTTAGCATCGCGAGCAGCCTTGCGGAGAGCTCGGCGTCGAATGTCCTCGTGCATCCTCTTGTTGAAGAAAATAGTGATAGGACCATTAGCACCAGGAATGTTCTCAATGAACCACAGCATGAAAGCATGGCTCCACCAAGGGGTATAAGTGTTGGGCGCAGTCTGGTAACCACCAAGTCCAATCTTGCCAAGAGTAGCCTTGACAAAGTTGCGGGCGTTGGGAACAAGTAGACTAGGGCGGCGGACCTTGCTCATGGCAGTGGTGACAAGATGGCTCAGGACAAGGTAGACATCAACATTGTGGTCAGCAAGCTCAGCGGAGAGAGCGTTGCTCCACTGCTGGAGGAAAGCCTTGCTACCAGAGTATGTCGCCAAGAGAGGAGTAGGAGTCCAGCCACCGAAAGATCCCATGGTAAGGATAAGACCGCGCTTTCGCTGCTTCAGAATCGGAGCAACGACCTGAGTAACTCGGAGAGTACCAATGCAGTTGATGGTGACAATGTTCTGAAGCTCCTCCTTGGTGGTCTCGAGGAAAGAAACGGGGATGCTGTGGCTCTGGCCAACGTTGTTGATGAGAATACCAACGTCAAGACCAGAAATCAGCTCGCTCAAACGCTCGTAGTCGGTATCGTTGTTCTGGGAGAAGTCCATGTCAAGGACCTTGACTTGCAGACCCTTTCCAGGGTACTTCTGTTGAATCTCGGCAGAGAGGCTCTCGAGCTTGGATAGGGTTCGGGAAACGAGCACGAGGTTGAAGCCTTTGGCAGCGAGCTGCAGAGCATATTCCTTGCCGAGGCCGTCAGAGGCACCGGTGATGACGGCCCAAGTGCCAGGCTTTCCATACTTGCGGAGCTGTAGACACAATTGTTAGTAGAGCTCAGCTGGGGGCTGTAAAAGGACATACGTTGGTGCCTCCAAGCACGAAAGCGCTGAGGACAAGCTGGAGATAGCTCAGGATCTTGGATCCCAAGAAGAGAGCACCAATACCAGCGAGACCCCACTGAAGAGGCTGCGGTACGTTATGGAGGAAGTTTGTAATGGCGTCCATATTTGAAGAGTGCAACGAAAACAAGCCGCCTGTATGAAGAGAGGGAAGAGGAAGGGAAGAAAAGGCGACAATCACAAGATAAGTACACTATGGATGGATGCCCCTCGGCTCTTGAACTGGGTCTTGGCTCTCAGGCCGGACAATTAATTGAATTGAATTTTTAGGTGGTATTACCCCTGACGTTGTTGAGTTGGTCCAAGCTTCTCCGGCCTTTGGTCCCCGATTACAGGTCCCTCTCTCCCACCAAAAACAGACCATCCAGCTCGTCTTACACCAATCTCAACCCGCCATTTTACTTCTACAACTGCATTGCAACCACTGCAATAACAGTTGTTGAGATTCTCTGATTCCCGCTTATTCGATCCAACTTTTCTTCAATTCCGTCGAAATGGATATTCTCAAGTCTATCCTCCCCGAAGCAAAGGGTGTTCTACCCTACTACATGATCATCGTAAGAGCCACTCCCCCTACACCCAAGAACCGAAGAAGATGCTGACCCCTCGCTCTAGCTGTCCATCATTTCGATCGGAAACTCGCTGCAGACGTATACAACCCTACACTTCTCCCGACGAGTCTACAACGGCAAATTCGTCCGCAACCCCAAGCTCCCTCCCAAGACAGACAAGTTCGAGCCAGAGGATCAGATCAACAAGCTTGTTCCCGCCCAGAACGACCCCAAGGCTACCGATCAGCTTACTCCCCTTGCTGGAAGACTTTTCGGTACCTGGACTCTTATCACTTGCGTTGTTCGATGCTACGCAGCTTATAACCTCCACATTGGTCCTGTTTACACCATTGCTTATTGGACTTACATTGTCGCCCTGGGACATTTTGCCAGTGAGCTCTTCGTTTTCAAGACCATGACTTTTGGTCTCCCTCAGTACTTCCCTTTCACTCTGGCTTCCATCTCTCTTATCTGGATGCCTCTTGTTCGTGACTACTATGTCGAGTACAACTAAATCATGCGACAAGTGGTGCGACTGGTGAGTGGCGGTGAATGTAATATACACATGGCAGGCAAATGCAAGATGCCTTGAAATCGGCATAACAGCAACTTGTTAGATAAAAAGTTTAGATTTTAATGTTTTAATGCTCAGGCTCTATGCCTATAGATTCTTGCGATATAGCTCTCCTCCACAATTCCTCAACCGAACTGTGGCCTGCTCAGGAGTGATATCACGTTGAGGCTCGGCCAGCAGCTCATATCCAACGAGGAACTTCTTGACCGTGGCTGAACGCAGCAGAGGTGGGTAAAAGTGCATATGGAAATATGCGCTTTCCAACTCCTCTGGTGTTCCGTCAAGAGGAGCCTGATGAAGACCAGAACTGTAGGGAAAGTTGCACTCGAACAAGTTATCGTATCGTCGGGTGACTTCTTGGATAGCTTCGGCGAATTGGAGTCGCTCCTCGGGCTTAAAGTCGAGAAGAGATCGGATGTGTCGCTTGGGAAGAACAAGAACCTCGAAAGGCCACACAGCCCACCAGGGGCATACAATCACAAAAGCATCGTTTTCCCAGACAACTCGTTCTTGCTTCTCGAGTTCAAGCTTAACATAGTCGCCCAAGAGGTTTCGGCCGCCGTGTTGATCTCGGTATTTGCTCATTTGCACGAGCTCCTTGCCAGGTTCCTCGGGCATGGTTGATGTAGTCCAGACCTGGCAATGAGGATGGGGGTTAGAGCAGCCCATAGCAGCACCCTTATTCTCAAAGATCTGCATATATCTATACTGCTCCTCAGGACAAGGTGCAGCGTCCTTTGGCATAGAAATGGCCAACTTATCGGCTTCAGCGGCCCGAGGGTTGGACGGTGTCAGATGGTTGGCGTAGATTCGAGTCCAGTGCTCAATGACGGGAACAATCTCCTCAGCTGTCATGTCTGCAAGTGTAACGTGGTGCTTGGGTGAGAAAGTGAGCACGTAACACACGCCCTTGACACCCTGAGCTTGAAGCAGAAGAGATTCCAGGTCATTGGATGAGGCTTTCGCATCATAATCTGGCTGCTCTTGCTTGACGGCGCTGTAGTCGTTCACAAAGGCAAAGGTCTTCTCATAATTCGGATTTTGGTCGCCAGCGGCTCGTGGGTTACCGGGACAGAGATAGCACTGGTTTTGTCAGGGGATTGAGTCGTTATGATGTGATGTCATGAGCGTACTTTGGGGTCATATTCTGGAAGCTTTGATGCGACAGCGGCCTCTTGCTGCCCTCTATTTCATGTTAGACAATTCCTAATTAAAGCGTGAGAAACTCACTGCCAAGGTCGCTTCGTGCGATGAGGCGACACAAGTAGCCATGAGTCCGTAAGAGGATTGTATCGACGGTGAGAAATGTCGTCAAGAATTTGATCAGGCATGATGATAGTGGGGTGACAATCTAAAGTGAATGAGGGGTTGATGAGAGTCGAGGAATATTTAGAGAAGGGTTCAGCTTTAATTTATTACTGCTAGAAGCCGAGGCTAGCGATAGAAGAAACAAGATAAATAGCTAACTAACAAAGACTCCCCCGGGGATTCTGAATGGCGCGGTTCAACGGTGATATTCTCGGCCGTGTTTTCGGGGGAGTCTTTTTCCCAAACCAGATGCCCCCAATATTGGATCTCCACAGTTGGGACACCAGTCATCACGGAGTAAGAAAGCTTCAGACCTTATCAAAGGATGTCAACATATATCCATAAAAGAGAATCCTAAAATTATAGCAACTTACATGAGTCTTATTGTGACTTGGAATGGCAGTCCAAAGTTTTATGGTTTGGATGGTGGTCCGAACACTTTTGAGAACCAGGACCTTTTGGCATTTTCATTCGATTGATGAGACTTCTAAGATCGGCATTCATCTCAACTGTAGTTTCATATATGCATCGACGCATTTCCTCATCAGATGGACATCGGCCGTTAATTTGAGAGTCTGCCGGTGGTGCTAAAAGCTTTTTAGGCGGCGGTGGGCGAGATATTCGTGAGGGACGAAAGAAGCGAGAGAGTCTTGAAAATATTGCCATATTCCAAATATATCGAGTGTCAGAATGGTGAGTAAGGTAGTAAGTGATTAAACGAGCTGATATAGTTGCCGCATTTCTTTATATGCATTTATGCTGTAGCTATTGGTCGACATTTTTATGCAATGCCTGGATGGTGAACCAGATGTGTTATTTGCAGTTGATATCTGTGGCTCAGAGCTTGTATCACGATTCACCACACAGAACTCAAGTAAAGCAATGAGCTTGTCACTTCCAGACTGTGGGGATTCAATAATGGGGGATGGCGTCACGCTCGTACCGGGGCCTCAAGATGCCAGAAGACTTGGACATTACATTAGATAGGAGAATAAATGAAAAGAGTCAAAGAGCACAGCTAAGCTGTTCCTGGGTTATCATAAAATATCCTAGTATTGTCTAAACTTCTCTGTCAACTATTTGGGACATCCCCACGTCACTTCACTTGCCCATAGCGGGGATATGCGGCCCGGGGGAACTTCTTCCACGTGACTAATGATGATTCGAGCGTGGGGTTGCTGCTAGCGGATACTGGCTCCCCATTCGAAACAACCTAATCCGCGCCCTGCAAGCTCAAGTCCAGTGCACTTCAGCCCCGGGCCAGCTCCTGTCAGAGCAAGCGTAGACGCCATAATCAACAACATCCGCCCCTCGACAAATCGACCCATCACCAATTCCATCAACAACCACCTCAAACCGACATTATCCATCGAATTTCGCGTCGCATCATCGTCCCCAATAATCGCGCATCACCAAAAACCTTCTTTTGCACTTCCATCGCGCCTTGCGCTGCCTCGAACCCGCTGCTACTTTAAGACAGGGGGGTTAACGACGAACCTCCCGGCCCGACATCGCAGCCGGCGATATGGGTGTGATACGCAAGAAAACAATCACAAGAGGTGGCGAAGGTGGTGTTAAGTACGTTTGCGATGTGTGCTCATCAGATATTACATCTACGGTAGGTCATTTGCTCTGTTGCCTGTTGCCCGAAGCTTGTTTGGAAACGTAAAGACGCGCTTCGGAGATATACCGGCTAAACTCAATGCGATGTCATGATGGGGTTGCTAATCATGTTGGTGTTGACATAGGTCCGCATCCGATGCGCCGACTCCGACTGCAGTGACTTCGACCTCTGCGTCTCGTGTTTCGCCAAAGGTGAATCACGAAATGCTCACAACCCTGCGACACACGCTTTTCGGGTGATTGAACAAAACTCATTCCCCATTTTTGATCGAGAATGGGGCGCAGACGAAGAATTACTCCTCCTTGAGGGCGCCGAAATATATGGTCTCGGCTCATGGGCCGATATCGCAGATCATATTGGCGGCTTCCGTGAGAAGGACGAGGTTCGCGATCACTACTTATCGACTTACGTCGACTCGTCTCACTTTCCACTACCCAAACGCTGCAGTCCTCACGATTGCGAATTGGCCAACGAAATACCCAGAGAAGAATTCCAGGCACGCAAGAAGCGGCGAATAGAAGAGCGACGAGATGCAGCTAAGAACGCGCCCGCTCTACAGCCTAAAACAAAACCAACAGCTAGTGTACCTAGTTGTCACGAAATTCAAGGATACATGCCTGGTCGTTTGGAATTCGAGACCGAATATGCAAATGAGGCAGAAGAAGCTGTCCAGTTAATGCAATTCGATCCGGGTGATGGATTGAATCCCAGGACAGGCGAGCTTGAACCTGAAATGGAACTCAAGCTTACAGTGATGGACATATACAACGCACGACTGACACAGCGTGTGGAGCGTAAGAAGGTTATCTTTGAGCACAATCTTCTTGAATATAGAGAGAACACAAAGCTGGAGAAAAGGCGGACCAAAGAAGAAAGGGATTTGCTGCAGAAAGCTAAGCCATTCGCCCGCATGATGAACCAGCAGGACTTTGAGGAGCTCAATCAAGGTCTTCTCGATGAACTCAACCTACGACAAGCCATTACGCAGCTACAAGAGTGGCGGAACATGCGTATCGGTGACCTTAGAAGTGGTGAAAAGTACGAGAACGAGAAAGCTTCGAGAATCCAGAAGGCAATTCCCATGGGTTCCATGGATCGCGAGCGACTGGCGTCTGCACAGAGGTCTAAGCAACCTCCTCCTCCCGAGCCACCGAGTGGATCTGCTCTTCTTATCGCCCCAGAACTTCCTGCCAGACTGCTACCAACGCCTGCTGCGGAAGTCAATGGCGATGTAAAGCCATTAACAAATGGTCATACTGATGGCCTAGCCAATGGCCAAACAAATGGCCAGGTCAATGGAGTGACCAACGGAGTTAACGGAGTCAATGGAGTAAATGGCCATGCAGCTCCTAAGCAGAGATACACGGCCCAACCCATCTCCGGCGTACAACCGATGCCTATGACCCAAGACACTGCGCCAGACTTGCACCTCCTCACACCAGAGGAGGCCAAGCTTTGCGAGATCATCAGACTGCAGCCCAAGCCATATCTCATGATAAAGGAGCAGATCCTCAAGGAAGCTCTCAAGACAAATGGCACTCTGAAGAAGAAGCAGGCAAAAGAGATATGTAGATTGGACTCGCAAAAGGGAGGGCGCATATTCGATTTCTTTATTAATTCAGGATGGGTGGGCAAGGCGTGATCTGGTTGTTAACTGTTTATAATACCCTTTTGAAGACGAGGAATGGAATTGGCGCTGAGCGTTTGCTGGAAATTATGTAGTATATGTTACGATTCTGTGGATAGATGTCACCAGTACAATGTTAAAAGAATTAGCTACTCATTTTCAGGTCTCCACTTAGATGCTATTGGACCTATCTACAGGTATAAGACGACATAAGAACTCCCTAAGTAAATAAATAGGTAGTCATAGTTTTGTGTGCTGAATTCATCCATTGGACTAGTTCTACAGTGATTTGTCTAGTCTCCTGACCTTCATCTGCCTCCTGATCCAAGCCAATTGCAACTTGGCTAATATCTACCCGACCCCCCAACATATAGTGTGTTTCTTCAAATAAGACTGCATTGTAGGCAATGCCTGGTGCAATTCTCGGCATCTGGGGAGTAACAGCATGGTCCAACAGATGTATATCAGCATCGTCGGCAATACGGAGGTGGTGGTACTCGAGGTTGGTCGCCAACTTTCGAGCTGTTGGCGGTCCTATCGGCAAGTTCATCGATGCTTCCTTGTTCAAGATCGCTTTCGTATTCTTGGGGAGACGAAGGACCTGGAAGCAGAGGACCTGGAGGTGCAATGCCCATAGGCTCAGGGTACAAAGGGTACCTGGGCCCAGGGTACTGAGGTCCTTGTCTCTGAGGTCCTGATTTTGTTGGAGGCGGACATGGCGGGCATCGACGACCCATGAGATACTTGGCGAACATGACGATAAAACCAACCGAAACCATGACGCCAATAGTCCAGGAAACGATGCAAATGATGGGCATTCCTGAAGGGTCATCATTTGGTTGGTTAGGCTGATAGTATATAGGGACGTTCATGTTGGGCTTCTTTTGGTCTCGTCTCGTGATTGATGAAGTGATAAGGGTAGGAATGGTATAAGTGACGAAGGTTATCAAGTGTTTTTTTTTGAGCTGCAGTATATCAGATGCTATTGGCAGGATGTTTGATGGAATGAGTTTTGACTGTGAGGTTGTTTGGTGGTGAGCCAGTCGAAAGTTGAGTTGGGTAGAAAAGGGTGGGAATGTATTGGCGGATAACCTTGATGATATATGTCGTGGATTCTAATGATTCGGTGAGCAAGTGACGAGAGTTGCCATGTGAGACTTCTATTGACTCGAGGCGCATGTGGCTGAAGTGAAATGATAGAGTTCCAAGGCCTGATCACCCACAGCAAAGCGCAAGCCTCTAAGCCGGTGAGATCATGGGCTTGGAAACCTCATCCACGCGATGGCTACGTTGAATTTGGTTGAAATGCCTTGTATGCTGGGATATAGGAAGGCGGAGGAGTACCAATAGGTTTGTAAGGCGGAAGCTCAGTATCGCGAGATCCGCGAAGGGAAGTTGAAGTGTAAGACGGCATAGGCTGTTCGGGGGGGTTGACAAAAATGCTTTCATAGTTTTCCTCCCGATTTACCACGACATCTCCTTGCTCTTCATCCTGAAATTGTTTTTTCGATTTACTGCCATGGGCAATCCAATAGCAAATCCAGTAGGCGACGGCAATGACAACGCTGAGCATAGCCCACCCTAGTAATACCGTGTCTGTGCCCATGATGTCTAGTTCGATTGAGTATAGGGGCGTTTTTCGTGGATGCGAGTCAAGGCGTAATAGAAAAGTAGGGAAAGGAATGATGCTGTCATGGAAGTGAGTCTGATTCTCTTATATAGCCCGAGTTGCCTCTCAGGGTTAATGCTCAGGCAAGTTAATGCTGGTATTTGAGTTACTTCACTGAAAATACTTCTCATGAGAAGATAAGTCCAAGTTGCTAAAGCTTTATTTTCTGGTCCTCGCACATTTTTAACTTCCGTTTTCTAGTATAGACTCTTGGCTGCCTAGTTCCTTCCAATCACGAAGCCATGGACAAGTGTTTTTGCAGAGTTATTCCCAAGCTTACCCAGTCACAGCGAAGAAAGCAAACCCTCTTCCAGCTGATGACCAGATGATAAATCGCGCGAATCGTTGGCTATGGGCACTTCATAGGGTAAGTCTTAGGAGAGCACGGCTCTCTGGACTAGGAGCAGTGAAAGGAGTGTTCAGGGGCCATACGAGCAGGCCGAGGTTCAGAGAGAGATGAACAGTAGGTTGAATCCAGACGGCCCTCTTCAGCAGCCTTTTCACCTGCTCGAGCATACGAAGAATTTCCGTAATCTGCCAAGACCTCCCGGAGCAAGACGAGATGGTGCTCTTCGAATGCGCCTTGATGATCCTTCAAGTGATAGATCGCATTCTCGAGATCTACACTGTCGGATCTCTTGACCCATTTCCACCCAAATCTTCGACCAATACGCCTCAAAAGGCTTCCTGCACACTGCACGAGAAGGAGACATCCACTAAAGACGCCTAGAAGAAGAAGTATGATGAGAAATACAAGGAGACCATCGCAGTGGGCAGACGCTTCTTCCTCAGATTGGCTGGTCTGAACACCGATTCTGCCAGGAAGAGAAGAGGGACAGATAGAAGCGCGGGTGATGTGGGAGACACCAGCGGTAGGGAGACGACTTGGGCGAACAGCGTCGGTGGGTGAAGGGAACTTGACATTAGCTGGGGGGGCACTGTGACCAGGCCTCAACTTCTTGTCTCCCTTTGTGGTTGACACCTCTTTCAGCGGTGGCCTGTCAGCCTTGACGTCTGGTATCCATTGGGCGAATGGGGTCTTGGTGGGAACAGGAAGACGAGACTTGGTAGGGATAGAGTCGAGGGGACCAGTCAGAGGTGGCCCCCTAGGGATGTTGTCGTGTGACGAAACAAACATTTTAAAGGATGAGGGTTTTGAGAGAGGTTTGAGAAATGATGGTTATGTCGAGCGGACTCAGAGAATCGGCTTGGCAAGTGTTTGACTGTTGGAGAGGGAAAACATGGACATGTCATAGAAAAAAGGCATCATTTTATAATACTTGAGTGTGAGTTTGGATGAAAGTTCCTTTCTTTTGCCCTATTCGGTTGACCAATTATGGAGGAGTAGCTCACGGCCGTGTTCAAAGTTGGGTTCTCGAGTTACCCAAAGCTTCAATACACCTTGAGAGTATCGAAGGAAGCTTTTGCAGGTGGTTCCGAAGAAAGTAACTATATAAGTCCCTCCGGCTGACCCAATCGCATCCAGGAGATATAAAGTCATCAAGTTCTACGAACTCCTCCCTCCAAATCAGTTATACTTTTCGACTTTGGATCAAAAGCTCACTCACGTCGACCGCACCAATGCTCATACTGTTTCAAATCTAACCACACCTCTTATTCTCTTCAATCCACCAAGACCATCAGAACATCCGACCACTCACCAATCATTCACAACAATCACCATGTCATCCTTGCCAGACAACATCAACCTGTGTAACAGGTATCAGCTCCAGACTCGGGATGTTCAGGGGGGCGACTACTACCATCCCTCCGAGGGTGAATATGGTACAGTCGATCGCTCAACTGGGTTCACCTGGTGGTCGAACCCTGCGGACGCGAGAGAGCGCACTGCGGTCTTTGGGGTAGTGACCGGCGTTCTCGTTGTAATCATCTTTCTTATGTTCTTAAAAATTCGCAAGCTGAAGAAGATGGAAGCAATGGTTTAAGCTGATCGGCGATCATGACGTATCTGTAAGTTGACTCTTCTTCACAGTCAGTGTTATTGGGCTAACATTTCTTCCAGTCAGACACGAAGCGGAATGGGAGCCATCTTCTCTCTGTCTGATGACGGATATACATCACCTCATCACAGTACCCTATTGTTTTAGAGGGCATCATTTGGTTGCTCTCACTCTCTTTGCCTGGTCCAGTCTCTCGAAAAGCCTTGTTCAAAACATAGTGGGAAGCAAGAGATGGAAGTAGGGGTTCTATCGGAAGAATCAACTCTAGCTCTGAATAAATTAATAATTTTCCCACAAATCCTTAACGTATCCCTCCGTCAATCGTTCATCCTCTCCGTAAACCTCTTGCCATCCTGAGAATCCCCTGTCCAACACATAAACATCTTGACCGCTCTCTCCCTTGGGGTCTTCACCCATAGACCTCAAAAGACCATCCCGCTCGCGCAGATACTTTAGTGCCGCACTCGGACCCCGCTGTTGACTGAGTGCGCAGTGAAAGACAACTGTCTTTTTGTCTTTCAGGCGACGAACCAAAGTTGGCATCATGGCGTCGAGAGTATGTGCGGGGATGTTTGTTGAGCCCTTGATATGTCCGCCAATGTAATCTTGAAAAGTCAGCTGAGCTGGCACAGAAGCAAATGGAATTGAGAAGAATTTTTCTTTTCGGAGAAAGGGTTGAATGCTAACTCACCATTATCACGAACATCGATAATAGCGAATGTGGGATCTGTGGCGTTGACTTCCTCGAGGATCTTCTCAGAGAGGGTTTTGGCTGAAAGCCGCTTGAGTGAAGCGATTGTTGTCATTGGGCGAGCCTGTGAACGAAAAGGCGCGGCTATTCTTTGCAAGATTCGCATGCGGGAGTGAGGTTGGGATACTTGGGAAAGGTACCCGAAATGGATCAAGATGAGGCTCATGTAGATCTGACTGAGGCGGAGCTAAATTTACTTTTGGTCCTAGGTTGACGGCGGAACCCCACGTGTGTGACCAATCCACGGGGAGCAAGAAAACATGGAATTTTGATATAAGTTATCAAAATAAACTCAATAAATGATATCCTCAACTCATGCTAAGTTACCTAAATCTTGTTATCGCTTAGGACCGAGGTCCTAGGTTTTCTGTCCTCCCCTGGCCAGTATCGGTGTTGGTGATGGTGCTCTCCAGCGTAGAAAGCAAATCAGGGGCTCAACTGGAGCTTAACTATTGGCTTGATAGTTCCATGGTCTACTCTGTACTTCAATACCTTCCTATGTATCAGTGAGACTTTACGTTGGAGACTCCACATGCTAGACTTTACTCACCGTCATCCTATTACGAATCCAGGTGAACAACTCTTGACTCTGAGGAGCGAAACACTGAGAGCAAGACCTATCAAATTAATTTGACATACTGTTATTTGTTTTAAAAAATCTCGACATTGTAGGTAAGCTCTGTAACAAAAAACGGCTTGCCCTCGAACAGCGTTTTCTTGTAGTAGATAGAACCTACAGCAACTAGCTTAGCTGCGATACTCGTAACGTTCGTAAGATCAGCGGCAAGACTTCTTAGCGAGCCGATTAGTCCAGTACCCCTATCTGGCAAACAAATATGTAATACCTAGTGCTTGAATACTGCTCATTCAAAATAGGGCAAGTCCCTTAGAACTGCAATTCACTACTTGGCAGGCAAGAAAAGTTCTTGGTATCACCGTGTAAGTGATTGTGATGCCGTTACCCTGTAGTCACACCAAGCCAAGACAGAGACAAGATCCCGGCTTCTACCCCTGTAAAATGACATATGACGCACCAAACGACCGGGGCCATTAGCTGACCATTGATCAATTCCGCACTGGCACAAACCTAGGCTACAAACCCACCAGCTAGACTAACAAACTACCCGCCCAACAACAATCTTCTTTTGTTCTGGACTCTTGTTTGTTTTCATGACCCTTTTGTCAATTGCACGCTTGTTATGACCATCTCTGTTTGTATGCGACTGCCGCAAACGTTTCGTACCGTAAAAATCACTGTCAACTCGCTACGACCACTTTCTTTTCCTTGCACCAGCAACTCAACTTTTACCCCGCGACGATACAGATTGTACTCTACTGCAAAGATGGGCTCCCAACCAGAGAAGGAGAATGGACGTGTGGATCTTCGCCCTGAGGAAGTAATTGGAGATCTGGGGTTCACGCCCATGGTTAAGGTCTCCGATCCATGGACCGTTGACAAGGTGGTCAAGGAGATTCCTGGTGGTGCGCCCACTGAGGAGTCCTCTTCGCCGCTTCCCTTCTTCCACATGCTCGAGCGACTCAAGACTACCAAGCGAGAAGGATGGAGGCGATTTGGTATCTCTAGGTAAGGAAAATAGGTCTCCAGACTCCAAGACGTCACTAACATGCGACAGGGGAGAGTCTATCGCCGACCACATGTATCGCATGTCTCTAATCTCCATGTTTGCGCCTCCCTCTCTCGCCCCGAAACTCGATCTTCCTAAGTGCATGAAAATGTGTCTCATTCACGATATGGCGGAGCTACTTGTCGGCGACATCACACCCGTCGACGGCGTTCCCAAGCCCGAGAAGAGCCGACGCGAAGCGGAGACGATGGACTTTTTGACCAAGAACTTGCTACGAAACGTCGCTGGCGGCACCACAGGCGAGGACATCCGCGCAATCTGGCAGGAATACGAGGACTCTGAGACACTGGACAGTCACTTTGTGCACGACGTGGACAAGATGGAGCTTCTGCTGCAGATGGTGGAGTATGAGAAGCGCGGTGAGGGCAAAGTCGACCTTGGCGAGTTTGCGTACGTCGCAACCAGAATGACGCTGCCAGAGATGAAGGCCTGGGGCCAGGAGGTTCTCAAGGAGCGGGAGGCTTTCTGGGGAAGCAAGCAGCATGTCCATGGGGAGCAGGGTGTTAGTGGAGGTGTTACATCTGAGCGAAAGGGCCAGCAGGACAACTACTACAACAAGGACTAAGTGATAGGATACGAATTTAGACTTATGAGAAGGACGGGCGAATGATACCAATGAGTTGAGGTCATGGCATATGGCATAGAAGTGTTTGGACGCAGGGGGGGTTTAGAGCAGTTCACGCGATATGAGGCATAGACTGAATAGATGTAATGGCAACGATTAACGATGTTAAAGCACACTTGAACTCCACGAACCCTCATTGTTGTGATCTATTTGAAGACCCCTGTGTTGATCATTAATCGTCTAGGACAACCAAGGATATTAGAGTAATTAAACCAAGACAATATAGAAATGTAAATGAGTCCGATAGCCTGATATCCGGTATAGATAGGAGATAAGGGAGACCTTTTAGGTTTTTTGTAACTGGGTACGAGCTGTTCCTCTAGTGTTCCTCTGATACTCCTCTGATACTTCTCTAATTCTCCTCTAATATTCGCTTTTTGATGCTCTTGGTTAGCTGAACCCTGCCGATCCCCATCAAGTGGACCAAACTCTTGGAATCAGCCACACAAGAAGAAGCTGGAGCTATAAGTCGGCAACAAACCGAAAGCTTCCCGTTCTCCGCATACCAATCCTGACAAAAGGGGATGGGCCTGACTGCCCACCTGGACATTCGTCAGATACTGAGTCTTTTTGAGGTCTTATTCTCTCATCATAGAGATTACCTGCAGAGTAGAGTACAGAGTAACTGTGCTCTCTACTCTATCGCGGCTGTTGAAGCAACTGCCGGGATCACTACCAACTGACCAATCGCGCCTCGTCTCTGACGCTGGCTACAGGCGCTGGCCCCCCAACCATTGTTTACTTGCCCCGTCGACATTTTGCCGCCAGGACCATCTCTCTAATCCAATACATCATAAATCCATAATCCGAGCCTCACTTTCAAGGCGGCATCGCCAATACTGTGCGTGCATCCAAGGTGCCCTCCCCTCTGACACGAGCGCCATACTTTTGGCTGCGTCTATTAGAGTTGGGCGCTTGCAGCCAGGCAGCCTCCCCCTCCATGCGACCGTCATCACAAGACACAACCTGCTATCTCACCTACCTTACCTAGTCACGAGGTGCTCAACAATATCGCCCATCGCCATCGCAAATCGCCCTCCGAGTATCGCTTCCCCGTCGATTGCAATCTCGTCTCCAGATCCGAATATTCGGTTTGCATCTACCCCAGACCCGCTTGTGCGATAGACGACCTGAGATGTGTCTCGGCTGCTGTTAAGCTTGGCCGTGAGTTACAGCTTCGCCTCCACTCGATAAGGTCATTCGTCTATCTATCGACCACGCGCTTGCGCGCACATACCGATCAAATCAGAAGGCCCTACCCCCAGGCAGAATGACGATTCCTTCGCACTTCCATATGTCGGGCGGCTTCAATAGAGAAGGCGTGCACCCTGGCCTGTTTCGCCCACCCATCTCGCCAAGCTCTAGCACCAGCTACGGATATGCTTCGCCCTACAGCACAGCAACCCCCGACGGACAAGCTACAAAACGAAAGAGGCCTTGCCATGACATATCGCGATCTCAGGAATTTCGCTTCCAGGATGATTCTGATAGAAATGGTTATTTTGGAACGCCAGTGGCTCAGATGAGGAATGAGGAAATGCGGTACCAACTTGCTGGACAGCTTGATACACCGAGTTCTGGTCCTTTTAATAGCGGCATTCTTGACGAGAGCATGTATTCGGACACAGATTATCGCAAGGCGCTTGGCTCAAAACGAACCCACGACGATATCGATCATGGAGCTGGACCGACACAACTGTTCAATCTGCCTCCCCAGCCGATACAATCCCAAGGCTGGGGTAGCTTCGCATTCTCGACTATAGGAGGTGTTGTTGGACGTGTATGGGAGTTTTGCAAGACAGGCTCATTTCGAGGTTTCCAGGCTGGCGGTGGTAAGGCCTTTACGATGAATTCCGGCAGGGTCGAGGAGTTGGACCAGACACTATTTGAGAGTCAGCATCTACCCGGTCGATTCCCGCCATCGCAAGAGGATTACTTCAACCAGCGTCAGTCTGATAACGCAGAACAAGGTGGCAACAGCGGCGCATCTACGCCTACAGCACCCCATCCGAAACGAAGACATACAGACACGAAAGATGAACTTGGCAGGAATTGGGTCATGGTGAGTGATGAGAAACCAGCTGAGCCTGAGCCTGAACCCAAGCCCGAGCCTCCGCTGCGACGTCCGTCTTATCGACCGTCCCCTCGATCACGAAACTCGGGCCCCTCCATGACTACAGGTCGACGCATCAGTGCCGCTCCATCAGCCCGATTCTCTACTGCCTCTACTCCCGGTCAGCGACGATCCACCACCAATCGCCCGACTAGTCGTCTATCACACGCAGCAGCATCACCTTCTCCACGGCCTGCATCAACCGCGTCATTCGCGTCACTTGCTCCCCTCGCTTCTCCTCGGATAGAATCGCCCAGCAGGATACCTCAACCCACTCGCTCCACTCGCCGAAGTACCACCATCTCATCGCCGATAACAAAGCCGTCGTCGCACCGCCGGTCTCACTCTAATGCCTCAGTAGCATCAGGACGTACATCAGCAGAAGCCAGTCCCCGTCTGACCGCAGAAGCCAAGCATCTCGCAGCACGCCGTAAGATGGAAGAACGAGATGCGGATGTGCGGATCAACGCTTTCAACAAACAACTACAGGACATGATTCGCCAGGGTAGAGAAGCCTTGGGCACGACGATTGAAGTGGAGGGTAACTGGGAGGATGACCTGTGAACGACTCCAGCTGCCATCCATCCATCCATCCATCTACCTACCTCGTGACGACCCATTAGACATTTTGAAGCCACCTTCCTACCTCGTGAAATCTCTCACTGATACCCTCATTTATTTCGTTTCTTACTGCCTGGGCAGCATCGTTGGGGATTTTGACAGGACTTTTGTTAGAGGGGAGATCTCTTTTCGTCGGGGAGTTGATTAAGGATCTGGGCGTTGAAGCGAACGGAAACTGACTCTTTGCATGTATCAGTCGCACACACATACACACACAAACTCACAACTGACTGACTGACTGATTTCTTGGCAGTTAGAAATAACTGCCTGATTTATTCGTTTACCTCGAGGATCGATAACCTTGTCTAAATAAGCATAAAAACCTTTCTTCTCTTGTCTTAAACTCCTGTTTAACTCCGTAGCGGACTGCCAGGATGGATGTCCGCGAAAACGGTGATATACCAACCCAGCTTCTATAATAGGGAAAACGTGAAGGAGACGAGTCGCTCCAATCATACGGGGCTTCGCTGTCAACAGAACGACCAGGCTGTGTCTCTAGGCCCGGGATATCGTACCCGAAGCGGAGCATCGAAGCCCCTAGTTTATTATTGCACGTTTGATATCATCTGGGGAACCTCAGGACAAATCCTTCCCGTTCATGGATGTTGCCTGCGGCTGACGGTCTTTGTCGGCCTTGTTGATTGACGTCTTTGAGGTCCTCGTATTTGCTGTTTATGTGAGAACGTTAGTCTTTGTTAATCAGCCTTGGCTACGTCTTGGCAAGGCCAGCTCAGAGGGACACCGGTGATCGTCCATTGAAGATGGGGTGCGTTGTTTTCTGGTCTCCTTTATGCTATGCAGTCTGGCTATCCGTTAACCAGGCAGATGGACTTGGCGTGTAGGTAAATATAGGTCTCCCTTGTTGTAGATCGAACGGCTGAGGCTTGGAGATACCCATTTTTAGGTCCTCGGGCTACTAGTTTTGGAAACATTTGATGTGATGGGAGTTGCATATCAGTAATCTCTCAGCAAAAGGAACCTGTGATGGCCCCATAAATGATTTGCAAGAGATGCATGTTTGATGAGAAAGGGGGCTTACTCGGAGGTTTTGATGTCCGGCTTGGGGTTTTAACCTTCGCTGACTGTGACCATTACGGTTATTAACTGTTGTAGTTGTCTCTTTTTTCGTCCTTGCTTTTTGGTAGAGTCTCACTCTCCTGAAGATAAAGCATCCATTGTGGATATGGATGGATGAGTTCGGTTATCGACGCGAGACTAAGGTAAAATTGGGGGCCTCTTTTCCCTCTCTCTCTGTCTGGTTCGAGACCGTGAGAACAGACAGTGGACTCTTCGGACTGCACGGATATTGGAGAGAAGGAATAAGCTCCAGCTAATTGTGTCGAGTTGATGAGATTTTACTTGGCAGTGATGCTCGGCAAATTCTTCGGTTGAGGATATTGTATCGTACAGACTATAGACCGTGGTGTTGAGGTTGACATTGGCATACGTCAAGTGGCTTATTGTTTGTTGCTATCTAATGCAGTGAGCATCCCGATCTGCAGGCAGAGTTCATACATCAGATAGTCACTAGACGAGAAGATTGAGAGAAACAGGGCTGCTCTTATCTTGGCGTCGTACGTGCAATTGCATCTTATCGAACCAATACCAAATACCACAGCTCTGGTGAGAAAATAAGGCCTTGTCCATGTCTCTCCTCAGCTTGTCGGTGGGTAGTAAATGCTACCGTCCCCTATTTCGCAGGTCAATCTTCTGGGGCATTGACAGGTCGGCGGCTACTCAAAGCGGATGCCCGATGGCCAAGCCTTTTATCCCATTCGAGGGGTTATTCTCCGTTCCTAGGTTAAGTAGGTTTCACTTTTTTGGTTCTCGTGAGACAAGCCCTGTTCGGTAATCGCGAAGAGAGCCCAGACTAAGGTTAAGGTTACGTTAACGTTGGCTATTTAATTTTTAACCTTAGTGAGCCTTTCCAGGGGGGGTCACGCCCGAACATGGGCATGGTCTACCCGCCCTTGACCCCTGGAGCCTGCAACTAGAGCCTTTGTCGTCTGTCCAATTGTGGCTGAAACTCTTGTCTTGTGAGCACATGGCATATGCTGCTGTAAGACTCACGAGGAAATAGATAATGCTCTTGTTGCTCTTTTTACTCGTCGGGTCGTGCTACAAGAGTACCTGAGACATACAGTGCCCTGCACAAGAGATTGGCTCGAGGATCGTCCCGCATTAGATAGCGCAATACCATGGACAT